TAAAGAGAAGTAATTTAACTGAAGTTAAACACAGAAGTTAACTGGAGCGGGGTTTGAACCTGCGACCTCCAGTCTAGCTGTCATTCTGGCACTCCACCTAGGCCTAGGTGGCTACCCATTTTTTTTTTTGCAAAAAAAATAATTGTAACGTCATGACAATTCGCTCTGCAAGTTTATGGCAAGAGTCGCAGCCAATGTTTCCTGACGTAACATTTCATTTGCCGCTAGCACTTAATCGCGTCATGTCCGAACGGATATATATGGTTTTGACTCACCTGGGTCAAACTGCTCCCTATGTATCTTCAACTCCTTTCTGAAGATCCCAAACATCTCTGCAAAAATCTTCCGAACCTTCCGTTCACTCGGAGTTGGAATGAAACTTAAGGCAGGAAAGAAGTCAGCAATTAGACCATTGCCGAAGGCTGTCTGTGCATCAACATTCAACTGAATCCACTGCAACAGTTCAGGCTGGTTGAACTCGTATCTGAAACAAGACGATAAAAGTACACAGAGTTGCACGTACCTTCAAAGTCTGCAGTTTGCTATTTATGTGGGGTTTCAACCCCCTGCACTTTTAGCATTTAAAGGGAAGAACAGACCATTTGTCATTTGGGCATTTGTTTTCAAGACAACTGTGTGTGTTCTGAAAACTTTCGCCAAGAGTGCATTTACTGACAACGTCATTGCATTTGGTCAATTTTTGGTCAATTGGTAGTTATATTTTATGGGAGACTTTAAGGGGCTCATTTTTGGTCAATTTTCCGGGGACAGACCTTCCACGAAGTGACATGTAGAAGCTCCTGCCAGAGCTTAAAAACAAAAAAATTGTGTAAAAATCTGCAGGAAAAAGTGCACCTTTGCCTGAAGTGCTACTTACTGTTTGTTGAAGCACAAGCTTGCCAGGATATTATACACGATCTGGCCGATGGTGTACTTGGGTGCAAACGGTTTGTCCCCAAGGTCATCCAGAACTTTGGCAATTTGCGGTGTGACGGCAAAGACGAGCTTCTGCAGTTGTTCTTTCTGCGCAAAATGCCTGGAATAAAAAACAAATGGTATTAGATTCTGAAATGTGATTGTTGACAACTGATAGTTTTATTTTTTTATAATTTTCTAAAAATAAATTCATAGATGGCGACAGGAACTAACCTAATTGCAGTGTGGCCAAGCTTGCGCTGGTACCTCCACTGCGGGCCGTAGTCCGAGAAGGCAATATCTTTGAATCCTTCAGTGAAGATTTCAACTGGAGAATGAGAACGATAAAAATTGCTACAATGAATTCCGTGCAGTTTTGTTCTCGTTTGAAGCAAAAAAATTGCTCAAATCTTATGTAGGGTGTATATACAGTAACAACCAGTTGAAGTTTTAACACATTGGCTATATTGAGTTAAAGGGGAAAAATTCAGCACATGCACGCAAGTTTTTGGGCCTCATAACTGGATTCTGTAAAAAAAAAAAAAAAAGGTTGCCAGCGGGCACACTTTTTTAAAACCACCATCATTGATTGTTTACTTTCGATTAAAACTATTTCTGGCGGAATAATTTCACAGGGTATTGGGGACCAGTTGGCAATGGTCCTAACAATTGTTTGGACGGTCCCAACAGGTGGAAGTTCTACTGTACTCTCTAATCAAACTTGAAGTTCCGTGAACATGTATACCTGAGTATGACATCGGTCGACCCGCAAACTCCACGGCTTTCGTCACCAGCGCTTCTCGGACGACCTGAATGTTGTTCAGTACAATCGTATTGAAAGCACCAAACCTCAGTGAGAAGACATCTCCGTACTGCTTGTGCAGATCGCACATGACCTCCAACGCAGTTTTGGACAAAAATACTGCAGTCAATTATAAAACGCAAAGATTCACGACGTCATCCAAAAATTATTCATGCAGTATTCTGAAAGTGATTGTGTAGTTATGGTCCCAGTTTCTAGAGAAAGAGCACCCACTTTAGTTTTAGGTTTTGACTCTCCCGACTATAGACGTTTTGCGTAGTGGCCGTCTTACAGGGCATCTTTTGCTATTTTAATTCAGTATAAAGGAATACACAAAGGTTCACTCGTTCGTATCCTAGCAAAACAAAGGCATTGCTCTCTAAGATGGCTGCTGTACGCATAACGTCTATTATTAAGAGGTGTTAAAACAAACAACAAAAGTCTCATGGATGGAGGGACAAAGACGATTTTTATAGCTCCTAAAATGTGTAAAAAAGTTTTAATATTAACGGTGTAAAAACATTTCGTCTGCCTCCCCCCTCCAGTGCTGTATCTACGATGGGAATCGCTTGACATTTCCAACAATGTGCATAATTGCATCCTATTCCTAAATCGGAAGAGTGCAGTGACTTTGGCTGGATCGGGCCGAGTGATCAGCCATAAGGAAGCAATTAACATATCCTACCATGCCTACTCACTCAATTTAGTCAGTCAACTTAGCAAGGAAAATATTGAAGCATTTAGTCATGTTAGTGATTTACCATGTTAACTGCGAAAACACAGTACAATTTTTCAGACCAGTCTCATAGGGTTTGTGCACGGGTTATCAATTAAGTGATGTCTGCACGTCCGAGTATGAAACTCTTCCTAGTATCATGGGTAATGCTTATCTTTAGTGTTAGGACACCTCTATTTTTAGTTCTGAACTGCTGTTCAAAACTGACTTTTGCAGACGACTGTCCAGTACCAAAGTGACTTTTGCAGGCTAAAGCTGTCTTTTTTCTTCTCATAAACTCATGCCAGTTGTAATTTTGAAAGCACTTTTTTTTAAAATGTGACTTTCCTACCGTTTTTTGCAGTTCGCCATCTTGCTTTTTAAATATATTTTCTGTTTGTCATTGTCGTCTTTAACCCCTCATAAATCAAAGCCCTGCCCTAGCTCCTTCTACAAAATTAAACTATAATATTCAAGAAGGTGTCATTGTCAACTGTTCACTGTCAAGAAATATCAGAATGTCACTTTTGAGTGTCAAGTAGTCAGCTGTCACGGGGTTCTAAAGGGTATCATGCCTAGTACTACTGTAGTATATTTTTACATCAATGACTAGGCGGCCTGACCATAATTTGGTAGGCCTAGGCCCGACTACTCACACGTAACATTCCCGAGCAGAGGCACAGCAAACGGTCCTGGAGGGAAGTTAGCCGGTCGCTTCGAGCTCTTATACAGAGCAAAGGCAGCCAGAGTAGTCAATGCAACCAACACGGTGGTCGCATTGACGTACAGGTCACCTAAAATCGCCATTTTCTTTTCAGAAAGATGCTGTCACAGTGGAGCCAAAATTGTGTGTTGTACGTTCCGTGTACCCGACCTTCCTTTTATACGCCGACATGATAAAATAAGATCTCAGCGATTATAGGCAGCCACCCGTGGTAGTGACTCATCATTATTCAAAGCCACGTTATTGGCGTACACGTAGGCACGTTACTAGGGCACATATAAGGCCTATTGTGAAATCATGTTTACCTATGAATTCACCCAATATTAATTAAGCCCCTTTGATCAGGTAAGGTGCATTTGCTTATCGTATAGACTCGTGCATGCATATGTTCATGGTTAGACCTGTACATGTAAATGGGCATGACTTCATAGCTGATCGTCAGAGGCAGCTAGGCCTACTCAAACCTCAACTAAAGCGCAGACAGGAGCACAAAACAAAGCTTCGCAGTGTTACGACTTTGCACGTGATTTTTATGCCTCACGTGCAAATTGCATCATAACTTGGAACTTTGATAATCATTGTCCAATCCCAATACGTGGCTAAACGTATAAAAGATATAGACGCAGGACCCTAAAGAAAAGTAGGGGGAAGCAACAAACAAAACGAAAGACGTAATTAATTCACTTTCCACTCATCGAAAAAAAAACACCCCTTTTTATTTTACCAACCAAACATGCAATGAAAACATACAACGAGTAGAAACCTCTAGACCATGCAAATCAGTACGGACGCGGCAATTCCATCCACGAGATAAAACATAAAGTACCCATTGATAACAACAATGTGAAAAGGCACGGAAAAAATCACCGTGACATCAAAATAAAAAGGAGGGCCAATTGGAACATCGGAAACACCCCCCCCCCCCCCCCGCTGTGGCAGCCAAAAAAGAATGATACTGGTCTAATGTCTGCCTGTTCAAAATACGGTTCTGTAATCTAGTGTTAAAAATCGTGGAATTTGAACAGCGCCCCCTATTGAAATATGGTACCAGCCCCCCCCCCTCAAACCATGAACCTAGTTACGAGTAATGGGCACAGTCAACCTCGTTCCCAGTACTTACTTTATTTCCAACCTCGTTTCCAATACTAAGCCCTGGATAGGAAACTTCCTTCCTGTATCCTGATTCGATACCGCAATTTGCTAATAATGTATTTATATCGGGTATTTAGTGTTGTTATTTTCAACGTGCATTACGTGTTTTCACGATCATTGTAATTATAACGTCCACGCCTTCTCAGTAATACTCCTTTTCTTTCCAGTTTGCTTATATTAATATGAAATGTGATACTGCATATTGGCGCGCCAAATTATAACATTTTAACTTCCAAAAAAACATTCGTATTTTCATAACTCACGGCGCGACGAACTGATGCTGTTTTTACCCAAGACAGGGCATACAAAAAGAAACGCTAGCTAATGTAACGTGCATGCAGGCACCAGACTTTTCCTCATTTGCGTGCGTGTTCAAAATCTTGCACATGCAAATGATCCAATACCAGGGTGAGAGAGCAGGTAGTGGCGGGCGCGTACTGCTCAACACCCTGGGGACGAGGTTGGGGCACATGTGTGACATAGGTTAGGGCACAGGTGTTAAAGATAATAATTGTACATAATTCATGGGTAGGATAGGGGAAATTGGGGTTAAGGGTCATTAAAGTTGGAAAAATTGTGTGCACAACCCTATATGGAATTGTCCCCCTATAAGGTACCATTCCCCATAGTGATAATAACTACTTGTCATCTACTCTAATACAAGCTTTTCTTTGGAGATCTGAATACAGCAATTTCCTTTTCATGCATTTTTTCGTTTCCAATATTTAACACGTACACCACTCAAAATTAAAAGAAGAATGTTCAAAACCCAACCCGTTCGACTTCCATCTCAGTGGCTTCACTTTTCGAGAACACAGTGAAAAACAATTAGGCACATCTTTTGATCACGAAACACGATTTTGTCCATAGAATTAAAACTCCATTTTCCCAAAAGCAGTCAACTTGTCGTTGGTGATTCGCTCGATTTCTTCTAAAATGACAGCGAGCTAGACGGAATAATTTCATGGGATGTACGATCTTTAATCCATATAAGCTTTTTGATTATAATTCGGTAGGCTACTTTTGGAATAAATGCAAAAGATCCTACATGCCTTTAGTGGCAAATCTGATATTTTAATCTTGGCAAACATGCCCCAAAATTTGCAGAGATTCAACTCTGTGTTATATGATTATGTATGTTCCGAGCTGTGTGAGGACAATCTTAGGTTTCCCAACCTTAGAGGAAGCAACTGTTGGCGACATGCATCAATAAATTCTATTATTTCTATCGACTTTAATTTGGCGATATAGGTATCAGAAACAAACTTGAGGGAACTTCCAAGTATATACCCTTCGATGAGGGTAATTAATATCGCTTCTTGACGCACACTTCCATCTCATCAACAGGCTGATGTGTCAGAGCCGCCACCTTGTTGAGAGTCAAGAGAGACTCCGACTCCTTGCCCGGTACCTTGTAGAAGGTGTACCGGCCAAACAGCCAAGTGAAGAGCAAGAAGATTTCCTTCTTGGCAAAGTCTTCGCCGAGGCAGACGCGACGTCCGGTACTGAATGGGAGAAAGCTCTCTGGGAGCTTTTTGAGCAGTTGACCGTTGTCGTCCAAAAAGTGCTCTGTCAAAGAAAACATGCAGAAAAGTATTTTTTTTAATAATCAGGTTGTACACACTTCAGGCTCCTTCCACGAATAGATTTACCAAAATGCACGCACGCCTTGTCTTTAAGAACGCATCCAGCATGCGCATGAGCTTGGTTCCACCGCAGTATAGCGCCTTCCAATTCTGGTTGCCGAGTGCCGATGCCGCTAAAAACTTGCCAAGCTTGCAAACTTACCCGGCTTAAACTTCTCCGGTTCGGACCACTGTGTTGGGTCGTTGTGCAGAGCCAGATGGTTAATCATCACCATGGTGCCTTTGGGGATATCGTACCCAGCTGTAGACATTTATTTCAAAAAGATAACTCAAATGACAAACAATCACATAATATAGGTTTTCCCGGCTATTTTAAAACATTTTTTCATTCAGATTCACCAACTCTAACATTCAATTTCGTCCGAGACAAATTTTTACATGCTTTTAACAAAACCAATAAATTAGACATTTACCATTCAATTTCAAAGTTTGGTCACCCTTTTTAGTCACCGGGTCGAGAATATTCGTCATTACAGATCAATCCTTCTCAGCTGTTGCCGAATGGCAGCATTCAGAGATCAAATTCGTCTTACATAAATCAATTAGACGAATTTAATTTCTGAATAACACGATTTGGCGTAGACTAGACGAAATCGAATACACCCGGTCGAAAAGTGTGCTAATAATTATTGTTTGAATTTGTTCGGGCCTAAATTTGAAATTGTCTGACAAAAGACGAAATTAAACATAAAAAGTGCACTCAATCGATGTTGCTGGACGAAATTGAATATAAGAATCGGTGAATTCGAAACAAAAATGTTTTAAAATACACGGGAGGACGTTGAATTGAAACACGCAGCACAATTTGTATATCAACTGGAGGACGTGTAATAAGACTTGTGACTTAATTACTTTTTACTGAAACTGTGATGGACTTGTAATGGGATTAAACCCCAGCGCATAACTTTTCCGATATTACCTGTTCACTAGATAACTGGGCCATCAAACAGAGCTGAAAATTTGGACCGATCTGACCATACACCAGGCGACCGGGTGAAATCTAACATGTTTGATTTTTTCGCATCCGATTTCACCGGATGCGATGTCGCCGGAAAGGTGTGCGGGCAGCACTCCGATTTTATTGGACACGATATTTATGTTAACCAATCGAGTTCACGAATGAAGTCACATCATTCCAAATTGACGGCTGCCATTTTGTCATCATGCGATGTTATCATGCGATTGGTTATCAGAGGACTGATCATCATGTGACTGATAATAGAACGGAATCGAATACGTATGCGGGTTGGTTGCGGTCTAACCGCAACAGAGAAAAACGGTGATGGGGTGATCCCGTGAACTGGTAATCCGGTGAACCCGGTGATCCGGTAAAATCGGAAAGGTAAGCGCTAGACTTCAAACTACTGGACCAAATACTTACCCAGTGTAGTGTCGGTCATGACACTATGGGGGACGCCTAAAGGCGCAACTGATCCATAGCGGTGAACCTCCAGGATGGTGGCCTCGGTGTATGGCAACGAGCCGCGGTCGTCCAACGAGGGGAGCGTATCGCGACCCAGGACGTCATCAATCTCCTTGGCAACCTTCTCCTGGATGTCCGGATTCTCGGCCAAGAGACCCACCGCCCAGTGAAGAGTGATAGTGGTTGTCTCGGTTCCAGCTGTGTTGAAACAGTAACATCTTAAGGCCTTTACAATCAATGTTAGATACAAGTTGTTGGCCATTCATTACAGCAAAATGATGTTATCATGTGCAGTGTCGTGGCCTCGTGGTCTGGATCATCAACCTCTTACGATCTGTGGTAATTCTGCAGATTTCGGGGGGGGGGGGATGTTTGGCGTCCAGCGTAGGGTTACTCTGGACATGTCATTGGGCAAGACACTTTGTCACTTATATTGAAAAAGATGAGACAGATCTTTTTACCTGAGAAAATGTCAAAGACTGTCTGACAAATGTGAGTATCGGTGATGTGTTCGGCTTCCTCCTCCCCAGCTTCTAATGCCTGCTTCTGGGTCAACAGCAACGAGTCAACGAAGTCAAGCACGTTTTCTGTTGCAAAAGAGAAGCAATTTAATAGTTGACCGAAGATTTGACCGGAGCGGGGTTTGAACCTGCGACCTCCAGTCTGCCATTCTGGCACTCCTCCTATCCAGTCCTATATGGGTGGCTACCAATTTTTTTAAGGAAAAGCAAATTGTGACGTCTCTGCGAATATACAAAAGTTGAACATATATTTCATCTCTGGTGAATTTTGCAACCACTTTTTCCCGACGTTAAATTGCCGTTGCATTAGCAATCGTGTCAAGTATGAACTGGTCTTTAGTGAAGTGGGCTTCGCACCCACAACCATCTACTTACGAGAACCGATATCTTACTAACTTGACCAGCGTGCTTTTTGGCTGGTTTTATCTGATATAGTGGCTGGTTGTTCAACCAATCTATTATGTATGATAGGATGGAATTTTTGCAGAGGAAATGTTAAATGAAATATTTGGTTTTGGCTCACCTGGGTCAAACTGCTCCCTATGTATCTTTAACTCCTTTTTGAAGAACGCTAACATCTCTGCAATAATCTTCCGAACCTTCCGTTCACCCGGAGTTGGAATGAAACTTAAGGCAGGAAAGAAGTCAGCAATAAGACCATTGCCGAAGGCTGTCTGTGCATCAACATTCAACTGAATCCACTGCAACAGTTCAGGCTGGTTGAACTCGTATCTGAAACAAGACAATAAGCGTTGCATGTACCTTCAAAGTCTGCGGTTTGCTTTTTATGTGGGGTTTCAACCCCCTCCACTTTTAGCATTTAAAGGGAGGAACGGACCATTTGTCATTTGGGCATTTGTTTTCAAGACAAAGGTGCGTGTTCTGAAAACTTTCGCCAAGAGTGCATTTACTGACGACGTCATTGCATTTGGTCAATTTTGGTCAATTGGTAGTTATATTTTATGGGAGAATTAGGGGGCTCGTTTTGGGTCAATTTTCCGGGGACAGACCTAACACGAAGTGGCATGTATAGAAGCTCATGCCAGAGCTTAAAAACAACAAAATTCTGCAGGCCAAAAGTGCACCGTTAACTTAAACGCTACTTACTGTTTGTTGAAGCACAAGCTTGCCAGGATATTATACACGATCTGGCCGATGGTGTACTTGGGTGCGAACGGTTTGTCCCCAAGGTCATCCAGAACTTTGGCAATTTGCGGAGTGACGCTGAAGACGAGCTTCTGCAGTTGTTCTTTCTGCGCAAAATGCCTGGGGGAAAAAACGGTATTAGATTGTGAATGTGATTGTTGAGCACTGATGGTATTTAATTTTTTTAAATTTTTTTAAAAATAAATTTATGATAGATGGCAACAGGAACTAACCTAATTGCAGTGTGGCCAAGCTTGCGCTGGTATCTCCACTGCGGGCCGTAGTTCGAGAAGGCAATATCTTTGTATCCTTCGGTGATGATTTCACCTGGAGAATAGGAACAATAAAAATTGCTACAATCAATTCCGTGCAGTTTTGTTCTAGTTTGAAGCAACAAAAATGCTCACAATCTTACGGTAGGGTGCATAACCAAGTCTTCCGCACATTGGCTATTTTACATTTTGAGATAAAGGGGAAAACGTTCAGCACATGCACGCAACGTTTGGGGCCTCATAACTGGATTCTGTAATTGTTAACATACGTTAAAATTAAAGTGTACCAGCGGGCACACTTTTTTAAAACCACCTTCATTGATTGTTTACCTTCGATGTAACTATTTCTGGCGGTATGATTTCATAGGGTATTGGGGACCAGTTGGCAATGGTCCCCACAATTGTTTGGAATCAAACTTGAAGTTCCGTGAACGTACCTGAGTAGGACATCGGTCGACCCGCAAACTCCACGGCTTTCGTCACCAGCGCTTCTCGGACGATCTGAATGTTGCTCAATACAATCATGTTGAAAGCACCAAACCTCAGTGAGAAGACATCTCCGTACTGCTTATGCAGATCGCACATGACCTCCAACGCAGTTTTGGACAAAAATGCTGCAGTCAATTATCAAACGAAAAGATTCACGAGGTCAAAAAATTATTCATGCAGTACATGTATTCTGAAAGTGATTGTGTAGTTATGGTCCCAGTTTCTAGAGAAAGAGCACCCACGTGTTAGCTAATTAGGTTTTGACTCTCCCGACCATATACGTTATGCGTAGCGGCCATCTTACTATTTTTGCTATTTTAATTGTAAAATGGATGCGCAAAAGGTTCGCTCATTCATATCTAAGGTTGAACTCTTGACAGAATAACAACGAATGTTCAGTCATCCGTGGCCACAGACACACAATAAGGAATCATTGGAAAGAGGACACATTGGTGTTTCACATGATCTTTAACTTATTTGCAAAATGTTATTAGATCTCTAATAACTAACATTTACATCTGGGTTTCCTTAGTGGATACATCATATATCAAGCCCTGCATGAAATAATAAGCCCATACGCAATTATATTAACCGGCCGTCAAGTTTATTTCTACCATCATTATCATGGCCATTATCAACTTACATTTAACAAATCCGGATTTCGATTTCGTTATAAGCTCAACGGCAGTTCCCGACACGCAGCCTAGCAGCTTGGTTCACAAATGGAGTAGGCCTAAGTCCTTATCAGAGGCTGGACCACATTATGAGGATACTGTAAGAAACATCTATACTATAAAGACGCTACAACATCAATGACTGACACATTAACCATTTACTAACGCGCTGACTCACATGTAACATTCCCGAGCAGAGGCACAGCAAACGGTCCAGGAGGGAAGTTAGCCGGTCGCTTCGAGCTCTTGTACAAAGCAAAGGCAGCCAGAGTAGTCAATGCAACCAACACGGTGGTCGCATTGACGTAAAGATCACCTAACATCGCCATTTTCTTTTCAGAAGATATAGGAGCCGACCTTCCTTCTATAGGCCTACGCCGAAATGATCGCAGCACGTTGCGAACGGTACACGTCTCTGATACGGACTGTGCAGAGCTGATGCAACAATACTCAAAGCTACGTCATCGCATGCATAATAACTTCAAGTCATGTATGTACATGCATGGTACATGTATAGTTTACTAGATTGCGCATGATTGTGAGATGTTTACTTACGAATTCACCCATTACGTAACATATACCTGAATATAATGGAGATTACAATAAATCCCTTTTATCAGGTATTATTAGGTGTCCTTGCTCTATCTACGTAGATCTTGCATGCATCATCGCACGTTGATCAGGCCTAAGCTGGTATATTTCGACCAAATTAATAAGGCCTTGCCTTAAGATTGCCGCAGAATTTTCTTGAATTTATTCCTCACGTGAATTGCGTCATCCGTCTGGATAACTTGGAAATTTGATAACAATCATTGTCCAATCCTATATGATTGTTAAGTAAGGCTCGTAAGAAATGGGCATGCAGGGCCCGTAAGGAAGAGTTAAAAAAAAAAAAGGAAAAAAAGAAGGAAACTATCAAACGGTATGATGATTTGCTTGTCATTCGGGAAAATCTTACAGCTTATTCCTGGCCAAAACCGAATTGCAAAAACGACTTTTTTGTTCACTATCCAGCCGGGCTACTGAAACAGACTCTTAACTAGCCAGTGGGCATTTTCACTAGCCCGCTTTTTTTCTTTTAGCTCAAATACAAAATGCCGTATTTTCAGGCACATTCTGAGGCAATTTTGTCATTGTTTTAACCCTAAAAGGGCCTGGGTTTTTTTTTTACCATCATTCAGCCGCCGGGGGGGGGGGGGGGGGCGGAGTCTGCCCTCCTAAGATCTCGGCCATCGAGTGACGAAAAAATTGAAACTCGGTACATGCATAGAGCAACTCATGACTCATGAATTCGTGACTATAGGTCAAAGGGTTTTAGAATGATGGCCAATTAATTATTCGTATATACAAATGGTCTGCTCTGTGTACACGACGTATATGGAAAAATTCAGTTTTTACGGCGCGTAGCCGCTGAACATTTTTATGTTTTTGGTATCAAAAGATGCGCAAGGCTCGAGGCTAAAAAGTCAAAACAGCTCGGGTCACGAATTTTTTTTTCAAAGCTATCGCAGAAAAAGTTGAAAAGTTGAGAGGGGGGGGGGGGCCGATTCCGCCCCGGCCCTTTTAGGGTTAAATAAACAGATCTAATTTATCCTATAAAACAGTTGATAAAATTAGACACAAATTGACGTGAGGTTTGCTTTCTAAATTTAATGATTTTTTTATTCCTGCATGTCCTTTCATCTTTGCCGTAGCCCAATAATTTTTGACTAGCCAGCCGGGCTACTTAAGGAATAGTTTGACGTGCCGCTGTTTTGACTAGCATTTGGCTTGCGGGCTACCGCTAATTTCGAACCCTGGAAAATTACATTCGGTCAAAAATTCAACAAGTTTACAAAATACATGGGTACATGAAGTGAGAATACTTTAATGCAAACAGAAAACCGTAAAAGTTGTCAATTTTAAAAGAAAGTCACAATATATTTTTAAAAAAAAAGCCGACTGTTATTCTAAGAGCTGGAGAAACAACATATGCCTACCCTCATAAGATTACATTCTTAAGCACAAATCAAAACTCTACCTTGTTTTACGTTTCATATTTACACCGCTTATATTAAAAACCACTTTGCAATGGCTAGCACAAGATATTTTAAAATAAGTGCCGACTCCCCCACAACACACGAACTTTAATAACTACTTGTCATTTACTCTATTTGGAGTATTTTAATACAGCAATTACCTTTTCACGCATTATGTTTGTTACCAATAATAACATCAAACACCGCCACTCAAAATCAAAAGAAGAATGTTCAAAACCTAACCTGTTAAAGTTTCAGCTCAGTAGATATTACATTTTTTTGAGAACACAGTGAAAACAATGCACAACCTTTTGATCACGAAACACGATTTCTTCCATAGAACTCCGTATTTCTGAAAATCAGTCAAAATGACTTATCATTGGAAATCATACATTTTCTTAATTTCTTCTAAAATGCCAGCAAGCTAGACAGAATAATTTCATGGGATGTACGATCTCAGTAATCCAAGAAAGCTTTTTGATAATAATGCAGTAGGCTACTTTTGGAATAAATGCAAATGAAACTTTAGTATAATGCCTTTAATGGCAAATCCGGAATCTTGATAAACTTGCCCAACGATTTGCAGAGATTCAACTCTGTATTATATGATTCATGTATGTACAATGTTTAACAAGACCACTGTAATGTGGGATATGACGTTTTGAACACCCGAGGGGCGCATACACGTCATATCCCACATCACAGCAGTCACCAATTGTTTTGTTGTATACCTCTGTCTCGGATTCTTTTGATTTTGATGTAAAACTCACGAAAACATACATCAGTAAACACAACAATCATGACATTCAAACGCCAACTCACATGCATGTCGCGTGCTCGAAACAGCTGATCGTCTGCAAGTTCGCTGCTCCCACTCATGTGTGAAAACATGGTGAAAATAGCGTGGGTACCAACGATATAAGCGTGAACCCGCTCGTATATTATACGCACAAAGTCATAGCACACTCCATGACTCCATGTGGGATATCACGTACATGACGTGCGTGATTTCACAGGGAGTGTGCCATGACTTTTTATAAACTTAACACGTGATCGTTCTAGGCCAATGAAAATACAGTATTCAAGACAGAGGTATAGCAATCCGAGCTGTGTGGTTTTCCAACCTTACTAGGAATTAAGCAACTGTTGTCGACATGCATCAATAGTTTCTATTATTTCTATATGGACTTTAATTTGGCGATATAGGTATCAGAAACAAACTTGAGGAAACTTCCAAGTATATACCCTTCGATGAGGGTAATTAATATCGCTTCTTGACGCATACTTCCATCTCATCAACAGGCTGATGTGTCAGAGCCGCCACCTTGTTGAGAGTCAAGAGAGAATCCGACTCCTTGCCCGGTACCTTGTAGAAGGTGTACCGGCCAAACAGCCAAGTGAAGAGCAAGAAGATTTCCTTCTTAGCAAAGTCTTCGCCGAGGCAGACGCGACGTCCGGTGCTGAATGGGAGAAAGCTCTCTGGGAGCTTTTTGAGCAGTTGACCGTTGTCGTCCAAAAAGTGCTCTGTCAAAGAAAACATGCAGAAAAGTATTTTTTTTAATAATCAGATTGTACACACTGCAGGCTCCTTCCACGAATAGATTTACCAAAATGCACGCACGTCTTGTATTTAAGAACGCATCCAGCATGCGCATGAGCTTGGTTCCACCGCAGTATAGCGCCTTCCAATTCTGGTTGCCGAGTGCCGATGCCGCTAAAAACTTGCCAAGCTTGCAAACTTACCCGGCTTAAACTTCTCCGGTTCGGACCACTGTGTTGGGTCGTTGTGCAGAGCCAGATGGTTAATCATCACCATGGTGCCTTTGGGGATATCGTACCCAGCTGTAGACAATAAAGAAGATAAATCAAATGACAAACAATCTCATAACATTAACCAGTTAACACGGGATCGGGAGGACGTTGAAACACGCAGCATCTTTCTATATCGATTGGAGGACTGTAATAAGACTTGTGACGTATTTTTTACCGAAACTGCGATGGACTTGTAATGGGATTAAAGCCCAACGCACACTTTTCCGATTTTACCTCTTCACTATAACTGGGCCATCAAACAGAGCTGAACATTTTGGACCGGTCGGACCATACACCAGGCGACCGGATGACATCAAACATGTTTGATTTTTTCGCATCCGATTTTACCGGATGCGATGTCAACGTAAAGGTGTGCAGGCAGCACTCCAATTTTATTGGACACGATATTTATGTTAAACCAATCAGGTTCACGAATGAAGTCACATGATTCCAAATTGACGGCTGCCATTTTGTCATCATGCGATGTTATCATGTGACTGATCATCATGTGACTGATAATAGAACGGAATCGGATACGTATGCGGGTTGGTTGCGGTCTAACCGCAACAGTGAAAAACGGTAATGGGGTGATCCGGCGAACTGGTAATCCGGTGAACCCGGTGATCCGGTAAAATCGGAAAGGACTGGTAAGCGCTAGTTCAAACTACTGGACCAAATACTCACCCAGTGTAGTGTCGGTCAGGACAGTATGGGGAACGCCTAAAGGCACAACTGATCCATAGCGGTGAACCTCCAGGATGGTGGCCTCGGTGTAAGGCAACGAGCCACGGTCGTCCAACGAGGAGAGCGTATTGTGACCCAGGACGTCATCAATCTCCTTGGCAACCTTCTCCTGGATGTCCGGATTCTCGGCCAAGAGACCCACCGCCCAGTGAAGAGTGAGAGTGGTTGTCTCGGTTCCAGCTGTGTTGAAACAGTAACATCTTAAGGCCTTTACAATCAATGTTAGATACAAGTTGTTGGCCATTCATTACAGCAAAATGATGTTATCATGTGCAGTGTCGTGGCCTCGTGGTCTGGATCATCAACCTCTTACGATCTGTGGTAATTCTGCAGATTTCGGGGGGGGGGGGTGTTTGGCGTCCGGCGTAGGGTTACTCTGGACATGTTACTGGCAAGACACTTTGTAACTAATATTGAAAAAGATGAGACAGATCTTTTTACCTCCGAAAATGTCCATGACTGTCTGACAAATGTGAGTATCGGTGATTTGATCTGCTTCCTCCTCCCCAGCTTCTATTGCCTGCTTCTGAGTCAACAGCAATGAGTCAAAGAAGTCACGCACGTTTTCTGTTAAAAAAGAGAAGTAGGCCTAATTTGACAGAAGTAAAACACAGAACGTAACTGGAACGGGGTTTGAACCTGCGACCTCCAGTCTAGCTGTCATTCTGGCACTCCACCTAAAGGCACCTAGGTGGCTACCCATTTTTTTGGAGGAAAAAAAAAACATGATTGTAACGTCATGACAAGTTTTCGCTCTGCAAGTTAGCAAGAGTCGCAGCCAAAGTTTCCTGACGTAACATTTCATTTGCGCTAGCACTCGCGTCAACTCCGCATTTGGTTTTGACTCACCTGGATCAAACTGCTCCCTATGTATCTTTAGCTCCTTTCTGAAGACCCCAAACATCTCTGCAAGAATCTTCCGAACCTTCCGTTCACTCGGAGTTGGAATGAAACTTAAGGCAGGAAAGAAGTCACCGATCAGACCATTGCCGAAGGCTTTCTGTCCATCAACATTCAACTGAATCCACTGCAACAGTTCAGGCTGGTTGAACTCGTATCTGAAACAAGACGATAAAAGTACACAGAGTTGCATGTACCTTAAAAGTCTGCGGTTTGCTATTTATGTGGGGTTTCAACGGGAATAATTTCAACCCCCTCCACTTTTAGCATTTAAAGGGAAGAACGAACCATTTGTCATTTGGGCATTTGTTTTCAAGACAAAGGTGAGTGTTCTGAAAACTTTCGCCAAGAGTGCATTGACTGACGAGGTCATTTCATTTGGTCAATTTTTGGTCAATTGGTAGTTATATTTTATGGGAGAATTAGGGGGCTCGATTTTGGTCAATTTTCCGGGGACAGACCTTCCACGAAGTGACATTGTAGAAGCCCTGCCAGAGTTTTAAAAAACCCACAAAATTGTGAAAAAATCTGCAGGCAAAAGTGCACCGTTAACTTAAACGCTACTTACTGTTTGTCGAAGCACAAGCTTGCCAGGATATTATACACGATCTGACCGATGGTGTACTTGGGTGCAAACGGCTTGTCCCCAAGGTCATCCAAAACTTTGGCAATTTGCGGAGTGACGCTGAAGACAAGCTTCTGCAGTTGTTCTTTCTGCGCAAAATGCCTGAAAAAAAAAAAACAGTATTAGATTGTGAAATGTGATTGTTGAGCACTGATGGTATTTAATTTTTAAAAAAAAATTAAAAATAAATTTATGATAGATGGCGACAGGAACTAACCTAATTGCAGTGTGGCCAAGCTTGCGCTGGTATCTCCACTGCGGGCCGTAGTCCGATAAGACAATATCTTTGTATCCTTCGGTGATGATTTCAACTAGAGAATGGGAACGAAAAATGGCTTATGTTGAATATAAAAATTGCTACAATGAATTCCGTGCAGTTTTGTTCTCGTTTGAAGCAACAAAATTGCTCAAAATCTTATGTAGGGTACATATACAGTAACAACTAACCAGTTAAAGTCTTGGCACATTGGCTATTTACATTTTGAGTTAAAGGGGAAAACATTCAGTCCATGAACGCAACTTTTGGGCCTCAAAACTGGATTCTGTTGTTAACACACATTAAAAAAAAAAGGTGCCAGCGGGCACATTTTTTAAAACCACCATCATTGATTGTTTACTAAGGGAATAAATAATGTGTGCTCCGGAGGTTTTTATCACTCTGTTTAATACCACTTAGAGTCTGGGTGCTGATAATTACCCGAGCCGGAGGCGAGGGTAATTATCAGCACCCAGACTCTAAGTGGTATTAAACAGAGTGATAAATACCGACGGAGTACATATTTATTCCCATTCATAAATACCTTTTCGGTAAAAAAAAATCATATAATTCGTTCAAAACATCCCGATTTTGTTCAACAAATTCACTTTATGCTTTTTGAATCATCCCTCCTGCAAAATAATGGAGTGTTCAGCTGGCGAGTAAGATGAAAACAACCCTTTTATGGAGATTGACGCGCGCGTATCATGTTCTATGCGATGTCGCGCAGAACGCACCTGGCGCGTTGCGTTTTGAATTTAGAACTATAAAATTCTAACTCCCTGGTAGTGTTGCGCATGCCTACGTGAGGATTGTGAACGTTCAACCAATGAAACGATAAGAGGCACTGGATTTTTAGGAGTCCACATTTTATTGTGACACTGGAAAAGTGTTTAAGACCAGCTAGCCATGTCTTTATCATCCGTTTAATACCGGCCACGTGACGGGCTCTCGACCAATAGGAATGGCTAAACTGTCTGAGGTATTTATGAATTTCGATTAAAACCATTTCTGGCGGAATAATTTCATAGGGTATTCGGGACCAGTTGGCAATGGTCCCAACAATTGTTTGGACGGTCCCAACAGGTGGAAGTTCTACTGTACTGTCTAATCAAACTTGAAGTTCCGTGAACATGTATACCTGAGTATGACATCGGTCGACCCGCAAACTCCACGGCTTTCGTCACCAGCGCTTCTCGGACGACCTGAATGTTGTTCAGTACAATCAAGTTGAAAGCACCAAACCTCAGTGAGAAGACATCTCCGTACTGCTTATGCAGATCGCACATGACCTCCAACGCAGTTTTGGACAAAAATGCTGCAGTCAATTATAAAACGCAAAGATTCACAATGTCATCCAAAAATTATTCATGCAGTATTCTGAAAGTGATTGTGTAGTTATGGTCCCAGTTTCTAGAGAAAGAGCACCCACTTTAGTTTTAGGTTTAGACTCTCCCGACTATAGACGTTTTGCATAGTGGCCATCTAATTACAGGGAATCATTTGCTATTTTAATTCAGTATAAAGGAATACACAAAGGTTCACTCGTTCGTATCCCAGCAAAACAAAGGCATTGCTCTCTGAGATGGCTGCTACGCATAACGTCTATTATTAAGAGGTGTTAAAACAAACACCAAAAGTCTCATGGATGGAGGGACTAAGATAAACTCATGCCAGTTGTAAACTCATGCCAGTTGTAATTTTGAAAGCACTTTCAATAAAAAAATGTGACTTTCCTACCGTTTTTTTGGCAGTTCGCCATCTTGCTTTTTAAATATATTTTCTGTTTGTCATTGTCGTCTTTAACCCCTCATAAATCAAAGCCCTGCCCTCCTTCTACAAAATTAAACCTGCTGATCTTCAAGAAGGTGTCAATGTCAACTGTTCAAATGTGTCAAGAAATATCAGAATGTCACTTGTGTCAATTAGTCAGCTGTAACGGGGTTCTAAAGGGTATCATGCCTAGTACTACTACTAGTACTAGTAAGTAGTATATTTTTACATCAATGACTAGGCGGCCTGACCATAATCTGGTAGGCCTAGGCCTGACTACTCACATGTAACATTCCCGAGCAGAGGCAGAGCAAACGGTCCAGGAGGGAAGTTAGCCGGTCGCTTCGAGCTCTTGTACAAAGCAAAGGCAGCCAGAGTAGTCAATGCAACCAAAACGGTGGTCACGTTCGAATACCAATCACCCCAAACGGCCATTTTGTTTGTCTTTACGGTGTCAGTGTCACGTCTATAATGGTGCAAGTACAGCTACGCGTCGCTGTCAGCAGTCTGGCTACAGGTCATTGCGCCCGGCCCCGGGCCCCGTCGTCAACACCGCACGTAGGCCTACCTGCTAACAAACACGCACAATTTGTGTACGGGCGTATATACACGTACGCAAACAAACACACTTCTTGTAGTGTATTTCGGAAAATTTCAAGTCGTTCCACATTCGCGCATTCATTCATTCATTCATTCATTATTCTTTATTATTTTTACCACATCTCATTTCATTATGTGACAAGGCATAAATACATACATGGAGTTTTGGATAATATAAAGTTCGAGCTTGTTTTACAAAATATATTTATACACTTGGACGTATTATTTTCTAATTAGAGATGGTGGAAGGGATCCCCAAAAAGCAGAGCTTGTCGAGTAGAGATCCCCTTTAACATGGATTAATACAAACATTTAATGAAAAACAAACGAAAAACAATTGAACGTATACATTTTAGATTGTACATAACACACGGAAAAACAATATTGCTGATCAGAAAAAAAAGAAATACAGAGTAGTAACCCAGTAAGAAGATTAATTTGAGTTATTATAATTTGATAGTAAATTCGATTTAAGTTTGGATTTAAATAATGGAAGGCTACGAGTGCCCTGGAGTGATTTATGTAAGGACTTCCAGTACTTAGGGCCTTCATGCCTAATTGTCTTTTTATAAACAGTTGTTCTTGCAAATGAAAAGTGAAATTCTCTACGTTGTCGGGTAAAATGGTGATGTATAGTTTCGTTTCTGCAGAACATTTGTGCAATGGGATTTGGAAGTAAATTATTATTCAAACGATGCATGAAGGCTCCAAGCTGAAGTGAATAAATTTCATTGACCAATGGAGCTATAAAGAGGACATTGTCAAGCCCAGACAAACGTAACTTTCGGACTGGTCCTTGCTCTATCAAAGGCGTAGCCCAGCCGGGGGGGGGGGGGGGTACGGTCTGCCGTGGTCATGCGAATTGTGCCCTACTAAGGCACTCTACCTCAACTACTCCTCTCAACCAACCCAGGTGTATGGATACGGCAAATCTCTCACAACAGCAATGGCCATAGTACAAGATATTTTAAAATAAGTGCCGACTCCCCACGTGGACATCAACTTGAATTCCTGTTAACATAATTTTTCGACGTAAGTTACACCTTTAATATGGAAACACCGGATATTAAGGAGACATTTCAATGTCTTCCTAACACTATTTAGAGGCAACATGTTACCGTCGCATTATGCTCGATCGATTGTTCATGGTCCAAAACATATGATAATAATATTAATGTAATATCTCCAAACTCAAAACTTTAATGATCGTTTGCTCAAATTGGTTTTAGTGGTCAGAAATTGCCTCAGATCACACCACAGAAATTGCTTTTCTATAACTGCATGTCTCTCCAACTATATCCCCCGTTTACATTTAACTCCCTACATTTTAATCCCCAACTCGTACTACGCCCTACCCGATCTATTATCGGGTAAATCAGCTTGTATGTTATATAGCGCAAATTCTAGAAAAAATATACGTGTATTCTAAAAATACATTAAAAATACTAAAATCACTATAAGGAAAATCATGAATACGAAATTATAAAATTACAAAGACAAATAAAATTTTAATCATTAAAATATCAAATCATGTTTCAGTACACTGTTCAGGTATTTCCTAATGCGTCTGATGTTATGTTAATACATTTTGTAATAAAATGCACTACGACAAACCATAGAAACATGAGTAGGTATAGTCATAATACATCAAACCATGAACCTAGTTACGAGTAATGGGCACAGTCAACCTCGTTCCCAGTACTTACTTTATTTCTAACCTCGTTTCCAATACTAAGCCCTGGATAGGAAACTTTATTCCTGTATCATGATTCGATACCGCAATTTGCTAATAATGTATTTATATCGTGTATTTAGTGTTGTTATTTTCAACGTGCATTACGTGTTTTCACGATCATTGTAATTATAACGTCCATGCCTTCTCATTAATACTCCTTTTCTTTCCAGTTTGCTTATATTAATATGAAATGTGATACTGCATATTGGCGGGCCAGATTATAACATTTTAACTTCCAAAAAAAATTTGTATTTTCATAACTCACGGCGCGACAAACTGATGCTGTTTTTACCCCAGACACCGCATACAAAAACAAACGCTAGCTAATGTAACGCGCATGCAGGCACCAGACTATTCCTCATTTGGGGCACATATGTGACATAGGTTTTAAAGATAACAATTGTACATAATTCATGGGGTAGGATAGGGGAAATTGGGGTTAAGGGTCATTAAAGTTGGAAAAATTGTGTGCACAACCCTATATGGAAATGTCCCCCTATAAGGTACCATTCCCCGTAGTGATAATAACTACTTGTCATCTACTCTAATACGAGCTTTTCTTTGGAGCCAATACAGCAATTTCCTTTTCATGCATTTTTTCGTTTCCAATATAACACGTACACCACTCAAAATTAAAAGAAGAATGTTCAAAACCCAACCCGTTCGACTTCCATCTCAGTGGCTTCACTTTTCGAGAACACATTGAAAAACAATTAGGCACATCTTTTGATCACGAAACACGATTTTGTCCATAGAATTAAAACTCCATTTTCCCAAAAGCAGTCAACTGACTTGTCGTTGGTGATTCGCTCGATTTCTTCTAAAATGACAGCGAGCTAGACGGAAAAATTTCATGGGATGTGTACGATCTTTAATCCAAGTAAGCTTTTTGATTATAATTCGGTAGGCTACTTTTGGAATAATCCTATAATGATCCTATAATGGATCTGATAAATCTGATAATAGGATCATGGCAAACTTGCCCAAAAATGTGCAGAAGATCAACTCTGTGTTATGTGGTTATGTACCACAATGTTCCGAGCTGTGTGAGGACAATCTTAGGTTTCCCAACCTTAGAGGAAGCAACTGTTGGCGACATGCATCAATAAATTCTATTATTTCTATCGACTTTAATTTGGCGATATAGGTATCAGAAACAACTTGAGGAAACTTCCAAGTATATACCCTTCGATGAGGGTGATTAATATCGCTTCTTGACGCATACTTCCATCTCATCAACAGGCTGGTGAGTCAAGGCCGCCACCTTGTTGATAGTCAAGAGAGACTCCGACTCCTTGCCCGGTACCTTGTAGAAGGCGTACCGGCCAAACAGCCAAGTGAAGAGCAAGAAGACTTCTTTCTTGGCAAAGTCTTCGCCGAGGCAGACGCGACGTCCGGTGCTGAATGGGAGAAAGCTCTCTGGGAGCTTTTTGAGCAGTTGACCGTTGTCGTCCAAGAAACGCTCTGTTGAATAATGTAGTCAGAAATGTTAAGTTCTTTGAAAAAAAAATAACGTTTGAAAACGGTCAGTTTTTCCGAGACAACAAAATTGTTATATCAGTACATATTAAGTCAGTTTTGCATCAAGTATATAAGGGCAATTTGAATTCCACTCTAAGCACTATTCGTGCTGCAAATGTAGTATTGGCCACGTTTTATAATTCAGGCAAATTTCACTGCAACATGAAGGAGAGTGCCTTTACAGCAATGTTCTTCTCAAAATTCACAGACTTTTATGGTTTTGACAGATTCAACGTTACCTGGTTTAAACTTCTCCGGCTCAGACCACTGTGTTGGGTCGTTGTGAATAGCAAGATGATTGATCATCACTGTGGTATCTTTGGGGATGTTGTATCCAGCTGCGGAACAGTATAAAACGGAATAAATATCAAACGACACACTGGAGCGACTGAGTTAAATCATAGCCATCTTTGAAACAGACAAAATAGGAGGACGTTATCTGGTTTTCTTTTGTGATTTCAAATCACATGGCATCACCTCTGTCTTGAATACTGTGTTTTTATTGGCCTAGAACGATCGCATGTTCAGTTTATGATAAAGGCATGGTACACTTCCTGTGGGATATCACGTGCGTGATATCCCAGTGTGCTATGACTTTGTACGTACGGTACGTACTGTGAAACGCTTATATCGTTGGTACCCACGCTATTTTCACCATGTTTTCAGGCTTAAGTGGGAACAGCAAACTAGCAGACGATCAGCTGTTTCGAGCATGCGACATGCATGTGAGTTGACGTTCGATTGACATGATTGTTGTGTTAACTGCTGTTTGTTTTCGTGATTTTTACATCAACATCCAAAGAATCCAAAACATAGGTATAACAAACCAATATTGTTGACTGCTGTGGTGTGGGATATGACGTTTTAAACGCCCTCGGAACGCAAAGCACCGGCTCGGCTTCGCCTCGGGTGCTATGCGCCCCTCGTGTGTTGAAAACGTCATACCCCACACCCACCACATCAGTCAAAAATGGTTAACCATCCTATTTTGGCCTTCATGTCTCAGTGTGAAGGTTGAAGTACAATATCCATTTTCATGTCGGAATTTTCGAATTCAAGAAGCTATAAAACGTCTGTAGGTGTGGAGTTCGGGGATAGAGTAGAGGGTAGTGTTTGTGGGACATAGTCGAGGATCTATAACTTGGGGACTGGGCTTTGTGGGATATGAGACATGGTGATCATGGTGACCCAAGCAAATACTCTAAGGTTTTGGAGTGTTATAAACATGGCAGGAATAAGTAAGGCCGTAGTGTTGTAGTCTATAGTCACGCTAGAAATACTCACCCAACGTAGTGTCCGACATGGTTGAATGGGGAACTCCCAAAGGCGCCACCGAACCCTGGCGGAATATCTCCAGAACGGTGGCCTCGGTGTAAGGCATCGAGCCGCGGTCGTCCAACGAGGGGAGCGTATCGTGACCCAGGACGTCATCAATCTCCTTGGCAACCTTCTCCTGGATGTCCGGATTCTCGGCCAAGAGACCCACCGCCCAGTGAAGGGTGACAATGGTAGTCTCAGTTCCAGCTGCGCATTGAAACGTAACAATCAAACTTAAGCAGAACATTGCTGGCAACTTTCTTCTATTTTTGTCCAAAGTTATTCTGAATATGCGAAAACCAACAGTATATCCTCTTAGCATGAGCGTCAGGCAGCGTTGGCATTGCATGCGTCCATCCACCAACTCTGCCTTGGTATCCATGGGCGAACTTGTACAAAGAGACAATAGAGGGTCTAATATATACATGGTGGATGGGGAGGGGTGGGGGGGGCAAGGCAGAAAATGGCCCTGATCCATCCTCAATAAACAGCAACTTTTTTTCACTGTGCTAGATAACAAATTAACGAGACAATATTTCGATTATTTTGTTTTTTTACCTCCGAAAATGTCGAAGACTGTCTGACAAATGTGAGTATCGGTGATGTGTTCGGCTTCCTCCTCCCCAGCTTCTATTGCCTGCTTCTGGGTCAACAGCAACGAGTCAAAGAAGTCACGCACGTTTTCTGTTGAGATGGAGTATTGTACATTTTTGCTAAACTGAGTGTTGTTATGGGACGGTCCGGCCTGCCCTCTATAGACAGTGCTGCCACCATGTCAGTCATGTTCCCTGTATCCAATAACAGTACTGTTTTTTTTTGTGCAAAAAGGAACCTTCCAGCCTCGCTTTGGTTACGTTAATTTGAAAGGGAAATGAAATTGAAAGGGAAAGTTAATGGTCGCAACATGATAAAAGGCTATGCATTTATTTCCAACAACTGAAATATCCCATGTTGCTCCCAACAACTACTGGAACTGTTTCGCTGATGTTAATGTGACATATGAAGGCGCACACTCCACAATCTGAATTTTTTGTCTGCAGTTTAATATTTCTTTTACAGTATTCAGGTTGCCAGTACCCCTTGCGATTATTTTAAAAAGGAATTTATATCAGTTCCAGTTATCATCGAATAACTCGTCCTTCCGTATTGAAACTCAGCAATTCCGTAAAAATAACAATAAAAAAAGGTTTGTGTATGGTATGTAATTTCATAACAAAAACTCGGTTATTTTGTGATATTCTAGGGTGCTGAAATCTCACCCGAGGCTAGTGTATTTGATGGAAAGTATTTATAAATATAATATAATATGAGAACTACCATTATTGACTTGAAATTCAAGAGTTCTTTTTCAGCAAGGTGGAATTTAGTATAGATTGCCGCCAATTTCCACCTATAAATTCCTACATTTTCTTATAGCATAGCTCTTTTGCAATTTTTTCCACCAATTAATGTATAGCTCTGTCACAGCCTGCCTCGAACATTGTAAGTTTAGACATGGATCAATCGGATCACGTTGATTATACTGATGTACGATAAAGGTCCAATATAGACGGATCAATCAAAAATCAGTGACTTCATAAAGATACGCTTTTACAAACATCACTACCGGATTCGACGGGTCGGAAAACCTAATGTGGTGAGTTTTGTCGAAAAATACCATACCTGGATATGACACCATAGTGCACAAAGGTATACGAAACGTGGTCTGGAAAAAAAACGAGCAAACGCTTCAAACTTTTCCTTGCTAAATTTGACTTTTTAGTACATGTTGTCGCTTGTTGATGGCTGATAGGTCACTGCAGGGAAAAATGAGTGATGTCCATGTTTGGAATTCCTCCCAATTGAGATTAATTAGCAGCTTTCACAAATCAGTTGATTTTGGCGCACTTTGATCCGATCCCATTCTGTCCCACTACGCACTGGATACTCACCTGGATCAAACTTCTCCTTGTGTGCCTTCAACTCCTTGTGGAACACCCCAAGCATGTCCGCGAGGAGTTTCCGAACTCTCTTTTCATTTGGAGTTTGAATGAAAGTCAAGGCTGGGAAGTAGTCACCTATCAGACCATTGCCGAAGGCGTTCTGTACATCGACATTCAACTGAATCCACTCCAACAGTTCAGGCTGGTTGAACTCGTACCTAAAACAAGACGGTCATGCCAAAAAGTACACGCAGAAGTTGAGGCCTGGTTATGGTATGTGCCTCATATCCCCCGAGTAGTCGTAAACAGCCAGTGCTGGTGTAGTGTGAATTTATGCCTTCCTGAGGATTATAAACGTTTAACCAACAAACCGGTGCTGGTTCCGGATTTCATACGAGTCTAAATTTCATGTGAAAGTGTTTTAAGCCCGGCCAGCCATGTCTGTATATATCAACCGTTTAAACCGGCCACGTGACGGACTCTCGATGAATAGGAATCGTAAAATGTCTGTATTTACTAGAATTGGATTTGTAAGCATCCTCCTATATACACCAATGTTGCCTGTTATACACCAAAGTTTACTTACTGTTTGCCGAAGCATAAGGCAGCCAAGATATTGTACACAATCTGACCGATGGTGTACTTGGGTGCAAACGGCTTGTCCCCAATTTCATCCAGAACTGCTGCAATTTTAGGAGTGACGCTGAAGACAAGCTTCTCCAATTGGTCCTTCTGCACAAAATGGCGGATGGCTGTGTGGCCAAGCTTGCGCTGGTAGCGCCACTGTGGACCGTAGTTTGAAAACACAATATCTTTGTATCCTTCGGAGAAAATCTCAACTATTGGAGAAAAAAATGTGTTGTAGACCGTGTCGTCACATTTACGACTCGACAAAAATTATATAGTTCACAAAACAATAACAGCTAAACATTTTATGTAAAAATTATACATATCACATTGCAAATCAAGCAAAACACATTTCTTTTGCAATTTAAAGGTCCGTCCCTTCAAAGTTGCGTGACATGTTGTGGGCGTGCACGTACCCGAGTATGACATCGGTCGTCCCGCGAACTCGACAGCCTTCTTCACTAGTGCTTCTCGGACGATCTCAATACTGTTCAGTACGATCATGTTCAAGCTACCAACCTTCAGTGAGAAGACATCTCCGTACTGCTTATGCAGATCGCCCATGGCCTCCAAAGTCGTTTTGGACAGAAATGCTGATAGGAATTAAAGCATGCAAAATCGAAAGGTTAATTATTGGGAAAAAATGGATAATAAAGTATTCAGATGGCAATTAACTGTGTAGTTACTGGCCCCATTCCTATAATATAAGAGAACGAAAAGGTACGTGTTCTTTCAGCAAAATCATAGCTAGTTCACATACATCCCTATATGAGAATTGTTTTCGTGTTACTGAAAGAACACTTACTTTTTTTGTGATCCCTGGACAGAACTTTAAAACAGTGTTTGTGTTCAAATAAACTTGAAAAGTATACACATTCACTCATGAGTGATCTGAATGATTCTTGTATACTAAAAGAAAGCCGGAGTGGGCTTTCATATCCTAGATTGCTGCAGGCAAAACTTCATTCAAAAATGGTCCTGCCAATTGGGATGCGTTTTTTTTTACGCACCCTGTATATAGCCTAATAAATCCATTCACCAGAGGCGAATGGGACTTTGAGCCCCGGCGTGAATGGGAGCAATAATGAATGTCACGTGATGTGAGTTCCACCATTATGACAATGATCTGTTATAATGGAGGGAAAATCCATCCATTGTTATATAATGCGTATCGGGCACAACATCGCAGACACAACGTTGATTTATGTATATAAATAATCATAGTCCCAGAAATATAGCTCAGACGCAAAAATGTGCGATTACGAATTGCATATTTTGTCGTCATTAATGTCTTAATGTCTTACTATAGCTCCTATATTCCTCGATGATGCCATGGTCATAATACAGTGTGTGAATTAGTCGGAAAAGTTTATAAGGCCCATACCATTTTAATATATATTTCTAGCTCAGTCATTTCAGTGTTTCACAGCAATCGTATATTAACGACCCCCCATTATGTTTGTAATAACTAACCATATAGCCCAATTGGTATAGTGCTTATTGTGCTGACTTACTTGTAACATTCCCAAGCAGAGGCAGAGCAAACGGTCCTGGAGGAAAGTTAGCCGGTCGCTTCGAGCTCTTGTACAAAGCAAAGGCAGCCAGAGTTGTCAATGCAACCAACACGGTGGTCGCATTGACGTACAGGTCACCTAACATCGCCATTTTCTTTTCAGAAAGATATGCTGTCACTCACTCAGTGTCAGTCGAGCCGAAAATTTGTGTTGTAAATTCTGTGTACGCCAAATAAAGAACGATCACGTACAGCACGTAAAAGAGCCTCCCATGCAGTCGATGGAAGATAAGTTTGCGGCAGGCCACTACCAGTGGTAGTGACTCATCATTATTCAAAGCCACGTCATTCGCATACACGTATCACTATGGCCAAAAAAAGTCTCCGGTTTCTGGTATGCGGCGCGTGCGTCGCCGTAGCCTTGCGCGTCGGCAAAACGAAAAAGTTTTTTTTTCAATGAAAGCCGGGTGATGTCTCAAAACCGCCAAACTCACTGGTTTGACTGGAATCCTGCTGCTGCACAATTTTAACGTGTTTTTAGATAGGGTTATGGTCGAGAATAAGCTTTATGTGGCCTCTCTGGACTCGCATATATTTGCACTAAGTTTAGTCGGGCACCATTTGCAGTCATCAGCCGACATTTGAAGCAAAAAAAATCAGGTAAAAAAAAAAAATGCCGCGTCGCCGCACCACTTTTTGGGCAAGCTCCACGCCAGAAACCGGAGACCTTTTTTTTGGCCTATAGTACGTATGATTGTAGGTTGGGCATTCCATAGTCATTGTGAAATCTGTTTACTTTTGAATTCACCCTTTTTCAGGTAAGGTGCCCTTGCTGTCGCATAGATCATGGAGGAATAAAAACGCATCTACGGTGCATGTATGTTCAGGGAGTAGGCCTGCATGGGAATGAGTTCATAGCTGACATTTTGATCAGATAAGGCCTGATCGAACCTCAACTAATAAAGCGCAGGAACACGAAACAATGGATAAACTAACATGCCTACGAACTCGCACTGAGATTGCATCATCCCGCCATCTGGACAACTTGGAACTTTGATAACAATCATTGTCCAATCCCAGGACCCTAATACACAAGGTTGTTTTTTAAAAGCAACAAACAAGTTGTACGATGTGATTAATTTAATTTTCAACTCGAGAAAACACCCCTTTTTGAATTTAACAAACCAAACATGCAAATCAGTACGGAAGCAGCAATTCCATGAAACAAAAACTACATATTGACAAACAACAATGTGAAAGTGCATCAATTAAAAAAAATCACAAAAATAAAAAGTAGGCCTAGTACGAAGAATTGCAGAGCTGGATCAGCAGAACTCTCGGGAAAAAAAGCCCCAAGAGTTTTCTGTGAAAAAACTGCCTGATTTCTATAACATTGTTTCTAGCTCTGTCATAATGTTTCCCTATTTTCGTTCAGCGAAGCACAAGAGCTAACTTCTGAAAATAAGTAAAAGCTGAACGAGAAAATTCTGAACTTCTTATGACTCTATACCATAGTACGCCATTACATACACGATCTATTGCAATTGACACTCTCAGCTATATTCCAACATATATTATTAAAACAAATGACTATATATCTTTTATTTTTTTACCTTCTTACGAGAGCAAATTTTACTAATACGAGAAGGATAACGGACGGTCACATCTGAAATTTGGATCTTGGCAAACTTCCGGGGCTAAAAAAGTTACGGAGATTTAAAAATTTCTTCTATGTACTAGGATGTTTCTGTGTGAAAAATACCTGAAATCAGATATTAGAAATTAATTATTGGTATAACATCAATACTTCTATTATATCTACGGACTTTGACGATATCACTAAATAAACAATAACTGAATCAAAGGTCGACAACGCTATCCTTTGCAAGTAGCTATAGCCTAGGCCTACATTTTGTTTCTACAGAAAGAGCGTGTATTAATATATGCCACCTACCCAGGTGAGTCGAAGAGACTAATATCGTCTTCCCTTTGAGATCTTCTCCCTGCATTGTTTTTCTTCTTTTAGATTAAGGCACCGAGCACGATGTTCCATCATATAAAAAGTCATAAACTTCCGGGGAACAGGCTCGGACGGATATCCAGAGGGGGTGCGGCCGGGGCACCGGGGGTTAGACACCAAACAATATTATAACAATTACATGTATGGTACTAATAATAACCTATTTATCCGCCTGTCCGCAACAATCGGACATATTTTTTTTTCTTAGGAGCCTGAACGCCCCCCCCCCCGGCCAAAATTCCTGGATCCGCCCCCTGGGGATAAGCTTTTATTTTTTTTCAGAACGCAGGAAAACCTAACTGATTAGCGCCCTCTTGTAACTGGTGGTTTTTTTTATTATACAGCTCTTTGCACGGTACGTTGGTTTACTCTAACCATGCTCTAACTTATGTAAAACTAAAAGTATTGATTGAAAAAGTAATATAGGCCTAAATTATATAAGACGAGTTCGAAATGACCATGACCAATTTGCACACTGCACTTTCTTGCGTTGCATTATTTGTAAAAATAAAGTGGGTACGTATAGGCTAGGGCAAGGGCGGATCCAGGGGGGGGGGCCAAAGGGGGCCATGGCCCCCCCCCCCCCCCCAAAACGAAACCAATTTTTTTTTTTTTTATGTGACATCGCAATAAAGGCAGGCAATGAGTACACCACCATCTTTTCCTCAAAAAAACATTGGTTAAAGTGGTCAGAAATTGCCTCAGATCGCACCACAGAGCATCTAGAATCCAAAAAAATTTCGGGGCCCTTAAGCGGGCCCCGAACCCCACGCCGTAATTTTTTTTACCCACTTTTTTGGGGGACCAAAATTTTTTTGGCCCCCCCAAAAATTGTGTTCTGGATCCGCCCTTGGGCTAGGGCCGGGGTGGGACACGTAAATGAGCATGCAGCATGCAGCGATACCGTACGAAAGTTTATCCATCCCGTGTAGGCCTAATTATAAATACACCAATTTGACCCCGGGTTCTGTATAGCTTGAGTAACTCCAGCTGACATGCTCAGTCATATTTCTTCACATGTAGCTTTAGTTTTTGTGTTAAATATCCATGTTTGCAGAATTCTGCCAGAAATCTGCCAATTTTTTTTTTTATATTCTGTCAGATTTTCTGTCCAACTCATTATTATGTCCAACTCATTAACAAAAAAAATCTGTCAAGGTTTAATAAAAAATAATAGCGGAAATCGGCTTAAACGGTCACCCTGCTCTGTTGTCTTTTGGTAGCTCCACGCCTAGCCCGACTGCGTCTGGACCATTGATCTCCATGTATATGGAGATCAATGGTCTGGCCGTACAGTACTATCGCAAGTTCTGTAGTACGGCCAGACGCCCGAAGCTTCCACAGAGACTGAATTTTTTGGGCCGCCGATGTAGCGATTTTGCTACATCTTTCGATCGCGATTATCTTTTCATCCAGGACACAAATTTCCAAAGTTAAGGTTCGTAGTCGTAGAGCAACTCATACCTTTTTGAAAAAACGTTCTTTGGTCTCAATATTTTCATCCATCTGGCCACAAGACGAATTTCAGTCATCAGATTCCACAAATATCGTCCCCCATGCGATAGTTTATGACGTTTGTCGGACACTCAGCGCGGCTGGCCATACAAACACGAGGTCATGAACTAAATAATTGCATATTCATTATCTTGCCCAAGCGCGCTCGCATAATGCATACATTACAGCGCGGCCGCCATTTTGAAATCGCATGGGGGATCGCATGGGGGACGATATTTGTGGAATCTGATGACTGAAATTCGTCTTGTGGCCAGATGGATGAAAATATTGAGACAAAAGAACGTTTTTTCGAAAAGGTATGAGTTGCTCTACGACTACGAACCTTAACTTTGGAAATTTGTGTCCTGGATGAAAAGATAATCGCGATCGAAAGATGTAGCAAAATCGCTACATCGGCGGCCCAAAAAATTCAGTCTCTGTGGAAGCATCGGGCGTCTGGCCGTACTACAGAGCTTGCGATAGTACTGTACGGCCAGACGCAGTCGGGCTACTCCACGCCCAAAACCTTTTCATCAAACAAGTTGGTCATGTCAGTGTGTGAGCCTTGACAACTGTTATTATAACACTCATCATTCAGAGTGTACTTATACAGGTGTCACGTACATCATGATCACAGTTTGCACCAGTGTGTTGAAAATGAAGGGGCGGAGTCCAGGAGCCATTGAAGTAGAGAGTCCACAGTCCACATTCCACTGTCAAAACAATGCATAGTTCATATGGATGTGAATGATTATTTGGCCAACTCATGACACCGCTTGAAATATGCTTAGTCATTAGGCGAAGTAAAAAAAAAAACATGTTTAGCGTCCCCGCCCGCTTCCTTTTTAGAGGCCGCCTCCTTTTTTTTTTTTTTTTTTTTTTTTTAAGACAAAAATTGATAAATTTTAACGATCTCTGACGAAAGAAATCATATTTTTAGACTTTTATACCGTGTGTAAAGCTGTGGAAATAGTCAATGAGTCCAAGTGGCGGCCATTTTGAAAAAAGCTGGTAACCATCTTGAAAAATAGCCCGGCTGCGTTGTCTTGAAAAATGTGTCGGGCGGCCATTTTGAAAAAAAAAAAAAAAAAAAAAGGGCCTCCTCCTTCCTTTTTGTCAAAGAGGCAGGACGCTAAACATGTTTTTTTTTTATTTTGCCTTATCAGTTGTACTTAAGGCCTGCATGAAGTAAGCTTTTCAAAGTGTTCAACTTCATGTAAATTCAAACATAGTTTTTGGATTACAGTTGAACCCTGATAAGAAGAGCACTGCCACTGAGAATTACAACATCCTGCTTATATTACGAGCAACATTTTAGGTCCCAAGTCTTTGTTTTCCATTACTGTTATTCCCAAAGTACCTGTTATAAGTATAACAAGTCCCAAGGACCTTGTTACAAAGGCACTCGACTGTACTTGCTTGTTAAACAGGATCCTGTACAGATACCTTTTGCAAACTTTAAGTTCTTTACACATCGGCTTCTTTTTTCAATCTCAATTTGTTGAATTGCAGAAAGTTGCCATAGTCCAAGATGAGCCTACTCTTTCCCGTGTTTGTCATCGCGGCTGCGGTGTTTACTGCCTGCTACGTGCTGCTGTATTTCATCTATAAACCCTGGAAGCGATTTCAGTACTTCAGCAAGGAGATCCCCGGCCCGGCTGCCTTGCCGCTCATAGGCAACGCACATCAGTTGGATCCCAATCCCCAAAGTAAGTTTGGTGTGCTCCAACTTCACCAACAAGCTTGACAAGTATTTGGAAAATCATCATAATACAATGAATGAGGCTTTGCCAGCTGCTTTGCTGCCTGTCGTTGGCCCTGTGGGAACGGAGAGTTAGCTTCGCGGCATGAAAAATGCCTGCGGCACACGCATGCGATCACCCCTGGTTATGTTACATACGTAGTGTGGAAATTCTTTTGTTTTCGTGTAATTAAGAAAAACCTTTTAAAAAAAACTCATGTTACTCATACTGTGAAAACTCTTACAACCCAAGTTTGTTTTCTATGATTCTCTTCAGTGTTTTTGTTCCTTTTGTCACGGATAAACCTAACTCCAAAATGCCTCTTAACCTGTTTTTCAGAGAGGGGGAAACAATGTCCACACCGAGTCGCTGCTGCTTGGTTTTATGTGGACCTCTTTTGTTAGGAAGTTGGCCACACAGTGAATGTAATGCTTGTACAACTCGAGAACACACACACAAATGTTTGAGTTTTTTTGGGGGGGGGAGGCGTGTTGGAAATTTTGGATTCTCTAAACATGCATCTTTGCTGACTAACTAGCATTTTCCTCTCTTTTTTCTAATTGCAGAGTTCTACCAGCAGATCCTGCAATACTGCCGAGATTTTCCCAAATTCTTCAGGATTATGCTGGGGCTCATCCCCATGATTGTGATCACCAATGCCAAGGATGCAGAGGTGAATTTACAAAACGGTTCTTTTCGGAATCGAGGGTAAAGATTTTCAGCCGTCGGATTGTCAACATTGTTGTCTAAAATACTTCCCTGACGCCTCTGTTCTTGAACAAAGTAGCTATAGTTACGGAAGCCGTGACATTATTGTCCAACTGCTATATAGTTACAGAATTGCTACATACATTTCAAATCCACATGAGGTTTTACATTTGTAAAAGTTGAACAAAGAAATTGATTGGAGCAGGGTTCGAACCTGCGACCTCCGGTTTGCCGTTCCGGTTTACATTTGCTTACCAACTGAAGCATATATGCATGATGATCGACTTCTGTAAAAAAAAAAAATAGCAACAGTGTTTCTTCATAAGACAAAGTTTACAATTGCACCATGTATTATAAATCTCTGAAATCACCTTTATTGTAATTTGTCGACTAAATTTTTCGTCTGACAATATTGCCCATGCTGCACAATGTTCTGTATATGTCCATTTCATTCATGTTTATTTTAGGTCCTGTTTAGCAGTACGAAACACATCACCAAGGGTTTCGTGTACGATTTCCTTCAGCCGTGGCTGGGCACTGGTCTGCTTACAAGGTAGCTACTGCTGGGCGAATAGCTCGATTACCCCAGTACTTTTAGGCTACTCGTTGTTGTACTCATGGTTTTTCATCTACTCGAGTACTCATCCTGGTGCGAGTAGAAACAGCTACTCTTGAGAAGCATTTTAGGGTTTGGGGTTCACGGCTTAATACGTCCCCTGCAAACAGGGAATCACTCCCTCCACCTCTCTCTCCCTAGGATTCCATTCGTCCCACCCAAAAAAAATTCAAGGAAATGACTCAAAACGTCTCACAGTAAGGATAACTCAGTGCTGAAGAATGTGGTGTGACTTGCATGCTATTTGCCTGCAGTTACTGTGAGTACTCGACTACTCGCGAGTGATATCTTTGCGAGTACTCGAGTAGAAAAATCCACTACTCGCCCAGGCCCAAAGGTATAGTATGTTATAGTATGGATGGAAATCGGTGTGTTGAACGCTTCAATGCTGCTCCTAAAAAGATGAACTTTGACCTTGACTTTTTTTTTTCCCCTCCGCAGCAAGGGCAGTAAGTGGTTCCGCCGTCGCAAGATGCTGACGCCGACCTTCCATTTCAGCATCCTGAACGGTTTCCTGGTGACATTCAATGAGAAGACGGACATCTTGGGAGCGAGGTTGAAGGCGTTGGCAGACGGCCAAGTGTTCGATATTTTCCCTATCATAACGCAGTGCTCACTGGATATTATATGTGGTAAGATATTACACAAATATTGAAGGTTTGCGAGTGCAATAGTAAGAATAAGTGCATGACATGACGGATGGAATGTTCCATTCCACGAGGCACAGTCGACCGGAATGGAATATTCCATCTGTCACTGAATGGAATGATTCTTACCATTGCACTTTATACAATATGCCTGAATAAATCCTCATCGTCTGATTGGTTACTAGTGTAATGGAATTTCTGTTTACCATGCAATAGAACTCCTTTTCTTGCAGTGTGTCTGGGCATGGGTTGGGACGAATAATTGAATGACATGTGATCAACGACCAACCAATCATCTGATGGGGATTTATTCAGGCGTTGTACATAGATTCAATCAATTATCAAATGTCAGAATACTTTTCAAATATGAATTTCGGAAATTTGAATGCTATTAAAAAGAGAAAAACAAATTCATAAGTCTAGACGTGTCTTGCTCTTTCATTTTCAGAGACTGCGATGGGAAAGAATATCCATGCACAGGAAGACGGCCAGAATGAATATATGCAGGCAGTTATCAAGTAAGTTACATAGGCAAATAAGCTGCCTTCTAATACATTTATCGATAAGCCCTAAACTATAGTATATCAACATATAAACATATTAACATCTTTACAGGATGAGCGAGCTAGCCCTGGACAGGATGAAATACCCCTGGTTATGGCCCAACATGCTGTATGGCATCTTGCCGAATGGCAGACGACAAGCAGAATGCTTGAAGGTCCTTCACGACACAACAAACCAGGTAGTTACAACTTAGATTTGGGTTGGAAAATTGGGGGGCAATTGTGGAGCACTGTGGTCTAACAGTTACAATGCTCGACCCACGTGCCTTGGTATGTGGGTATGAATCTTGGCAAGGAACATGGTGCTTGTCTTCTTAGGCAAGACACTTTACTACAATTGCCTCTCTCCACCCAGGAGCATGAACGGGTACCTGTGAGGATAGAGACCAGATCGTGCTGATCTAGAGCTGCTGCAGAAAAATGGTCTCATAGCCTGACGAACAGGGGTTAAACTGAAAAGCACTTTGCGACCGTTGGTATGAGCGCCATATACAGTCGAGTCTCGTTCATACAAACTCGTTCGGACCTAGCCAAATTGTTTGTTATATCAGAGTTTTGTATTAAGAGGAACATCAGTCCCATTCATTGTGCACATAAATGCACAGTCGGGACCAATGCCTTATGTTTGTTATAACCAGAATTTTGTATTAACAGAGTTTGTACTAACGAGAGTCGACCGTAAACACCATTAGCCTATTATCATCATTGTCTTACATTTTAGGTAATTCAGGAGCGAAGCCAGGACTTTGTCAACCTCCATCCCAGAGGTCTGGATGACCAGTCGGCCGATCAGCCCAAGAAACGTCTGGCGTTTCTGGATCTGCTGCTCCACATGAAACAAGAGGACGAGACGGTCACATTTGACGACATTAGGGAGGAGGTGGACACGTTCATGTTTGAGGTAAAGATTATTACACAAACCTACGCAAGTCAGGATTCTTCTCCAAACTTTTCCAGGTTTACATCAAAACTAAGTTTGCAGTGAATTTATTTTGTATAATAAATCACAGAGCTCGTATCGGTGCAGCAATTGACAACAAATTTAATGTTCGGAAAGGAGAATTTGCATCTTCTCCAGAAGATGGACATTTTTCATCTCTAGAATTATCTCTTCTCTAAACATCTTATTAGAAGCGTACATGTGGAAATTGACGATTGATTAAATGGCACTAAAGAGGCTGAACAATTTCATTTAACTTAAATCCCCCCGCCTTTTTTTAAACTCAATCCCCCCTTTTTTCAAATTTCAGTCGAGGGTTGTATTAAAGATGAGATGTTATTGGTCGATTATCCATTTGTTTCCAGGGTCATGACACGACGGCAGCTGGTGCATCTTGGTGTCTGTACCTCCTGGGTCGACATCCCGAGATACAACGCAGGGTTCACGAAGAACTGGATGAAGTATTTGGTAAGTTACAAAAATTGACGAATGTACAATGTTCCTGTAAGACGAGCATTATGTTACATACGAAATGCATTTTGAGAAACTTTAAAGGGCATTGCCTCTCCTCATCCCATAGACCTGTGTGTTAATTCCAGCCAGATGCAGCCTTAGTCTGAACGAGCTTGTTTAATGTCCCCGACCCCTGACCCGTGACCTTAACCATTAACCTGGACTTGTCTTGCTCCTAGGTGACAACCAGGAGCCAGCTACATCGGACCAGCTTCAACGACTCCACTACCTGACCTGCGTCGTCAAGGAGACGCTCCGCATCTTCCCCTCGGTGCCGTTCATTGCGCGCATCCTCGAGGAAGACTGCGTGTTGGGTGAGACGCGGCTTAAATATGATCTGAAGAACTTGTTACACATTCATGTTATTCAGTGTTGTATTCGAGTACTTTTACCCCGAGTCTCCGAGTACAAGTACTTGTACTTCCGAGTACGAGTATTTGTATTCCGAGTACGAGTACGACCATACGGCAAATGTTTCATTGTGCGTAATTGGCCCAGGCCCAGTCAGACCAATATACAGACCCACTCACAGCTAGCTGTTAAATGTGTTTGTCTGGACGTGCACAGAGGAAAATCAGGAAACTTCGATTTCTCCGCAAGCCAATCAACCATTTCAAACTGAAAGTATCGATAAAATAAGGCCGTGGTAAGGCAAGCTATACCATTTTTTTTTTTTCGAGTGCTGCTTTCCGAGTACGAGTACTTTGATGATCGAGTTCAATTTTGACATGCCGAGTACGAGTACTTTGGCATTCGAGTACGAGTACTCTAAAAAAAGTACTCGAGTAGTACGAGTACTGTAACACTGATGTTATTATTATTTCATGCACGAATGCTCACAACGACTACCATTTGTCATGGTGTGTTAGCCATTTTGTGACAGTACAGGGGTAACAGGCAGGGCAGTTTGGGGTTAAAATGTAGCAAGCCAACATATACCGGTAGCAGTGTTTACTTTGTGGCACACTATGTAAGTTCCATGTTCAAGAGTTAATGACCAACTCTCCCCCCCCCCCCTATTTTTTGACACAGGTGGCCACAAGATTCCCAGCGGCACCAACGTCTGTGTTCTGATAACAGGTCTGCATCGCGATCCGGACGTCTTCCTGAATCCTGAAGAGTTTGATCCGGATAGATTCCTTCAACAGAACTGTCTCAACCGTCACCCGTACGCCTACGTGCCTTTCTCCGCTGGTGCTAGAAACTGTATTGGTAAGTGCAAATTTTATGTACGTGTTCATCTTTTCAAAACCGTGGACGAAAAATACCAGAGAACAAAAGAGAACAATATTGTTTTTAAAAGTTGAACATGTTTCGTAACATTTTGATAAGAACACTTTTTACCTGTTAATTTTTTTTTCCTTTTGTGAGAATATACAAGATATATAATTGAGTCAGTCACAATAATCTTAAATCAATTACCATATCGTAAAAAACAGCCCAATGGATTCTCACATCCAAACATTGATCGGTATGGGTTTTTTTTTCTTGTGTGTTCGCAGGTCAGCGCTTTGCCATGATGGAAGAGAAGGTCATTGTGTCTTCAGTCCTGCGACGTTTCAACATCGAGTCCGTCCAATCTAGAGACGAGGTATTCCCGATTGGAGAGTTGATTCTGCGCCCTAGTGCAGGCATCAAGGTCAAACTTAGCCCCAGGGTTTAAGTTTGTTTAGCCACAAAAGAACTTCATTGTCCGTTAATCAATTCTTAACCAGTTCGCGCCGGAGGCCGTGTATAAACCCATAGGTTTTGCAGTATTCGGAACGGATGATGGAAAAACACGCAATGAGCGAGGCCGGAAATCTGTCAGCGACCTGCACTCGGCGGGCAAGGCAGGAGATATGAGTGTGCTGCCTGAGGGTGAAGGCTTCAACCCGCCTGGCTTGAGGTCGAGTGAAAAGCAATCTCGCGCCTCGTTCCGTTCTTGTCAAAATAATCCCGGCGTGAACTGGTTAAAAAAAAGAGTATAAGTGATGGTGCTTTCATTTTTAATTGACAAGCAGGCAAATTATTGCCTAGAATTAAAGCTTTTTAGAAATTAGTGATGATCTTTATCAGTAAAACTGATCACTCTAGATTTTTACTTTAAGTGTAATTTGCACAGTTGAACTTTTTAGCTGTAAAGGTTAAAGAAAAATGGCAGGGTGGCATGTAATACTTTTTTTTTTATCTATTCCATGTACATGTAGTTGCAATAGGACACAAATGTATAAGCAAAACCAAAGAAATGTACGTTTTTACAATTATTGGAAATCCGAGTTTGTTTCTTAAATTATTGATTTATACATGTATGTAATGCATGATAAATTGTATGTTGATGGGTATTTTAGCATCATGTTTTTGGCATCATTTTTGACTAAAATTCATGTACACAAATATATACTTGATATTAGTTTATTAACCATTTTTGACAAGTGTGTGATAATTCAGTGGGAACAATACTTATTTGTAAAAAAAAAAGCACTTTGAAGCCATATCAGAGTAGAGTAAAATTGGTTTACTGGTGAACTGTTTATGACAAATTATACATTTGAATGTAATTTATTCAAAATGGTTAGCTGTTGGAATTAAATGCATTGTTTAATTAAAGATAAACATGTATATCCTTTGAAAAAAAATATTGGTGGTGTGTGCATGATTACCCAATTACCAATTATTATCCAATATCACCCATTTATTTGTACACAGACCGGGAAATGTGGTCATCTTCGGTTTAGAACTGACTTATTAAGCCTTAAAAAAAAACACCCAAAAACCCAAAAATACACCTTGGGGCATAAAACTATTAGTTAAAAACATGTTCACCGTGATGCTCCACAAATAACCGAACTGGTTCAAAGTCTGAAGCATTTTACACAAAGATACAGGTAAAACGGCTTTAAAAGAAACTTAAATGTTCAAGGAATTTATAGACAATTCAACTTCTTTGGTTTATAGTGTATGCAAATGCACAGCAAAATTTGACATCAAGAAACAAGACACGTGGTTGGCAAACTTTTTGCCAGATTTGACAAACTTTTTTGCCAGATTTGACATTCGTCCCACATTTCATTAACCCTATTACCTTCCCAAATCCTCTTTGAAAATTGGAGGATTTTGCAGGATTGAGGCTATAAGGCAAAAATGTGTGGCTGATTTTGGAGGATGCACTGTGTCAAGGTCTTAGGCCAGACCTTGTGTTGTTTATGCTCAGCCGTGCATACATTTAGGCCTAAATTATACTTGAAATCCTCCGCACTTGCTCTGCCTCAACATATTGAGAGTGATTGCTGGAGGATTTTGCAGGATGGAGGTAGTGCTCACTCCTTCAAGGACCACATTCAAGAAATAACGGCAGATTTTGGAGGATTGAGGCTGTATGCTATTTTTTCTACATGGAGGCAGTTGGAGGATTTTGCAGGATGGAGGTTACATCTTAGCGAAAATGCCTAGGGAGTTAGGGTTGATGCGAAACTAGCCGAAAGTTAGCATGATGGCACATCTTATAGGTGGGTGTGATTACATCAGCTGATGAAAACAGCTATGAATTTGCACACCAGTTTCCACTGGTTGCTTCGTCTTACCATTCAGCACTCCAGACTCAAGAACCATTGAGTGTCAAGAACATAAGTCTGGGAGCTAGACAAGCCAATGTCGAAAATTCCTGGATGTTCACGCTCATCTTTTGCGCCGCCAAGAAACATTGTCAATGTTATTTTTTTTGTAAAGTGGAATAATCCTCTTATGCAAACAAGCTTGGACACTTATTTTGAGCCGCGCAACATGCTACACTAGCTTTTAATACAAGCTTGGAGATTATTTACACGCTCGCCTTTTTTCCCGTCACCGCGTCACTTCTTGGTCTTGACGATTTTGTTGTTGGCTTTCCGCGGCGGGGCCCACCTCAAGCTTGAGGTGTCGATGGTCAGGCGAGGGCGCTTGTACTGCGCGCTCTTCAGGTGCTCCTCCACGAGTTTGGGCGTGACGCAGATGACGTGCTGGCCCTTCCAGTACTTGACCATGTTGAGGGATTGCAGCGTCGTGATGATGTCGTTCTGTGCAATGCTCGTCATGTTGCTGTGGTACAACAATAAAATAACGATGGACAAAGATCAGTCAAATAAATACACATTTTACTGACATTTTTTTAAAGTATGACCAATCCGTCTGATGAATTTGCAGGGTCAAATTGAACACATACAAGGTTGGCAGCTGCGAAAGGAAAGTCTACAAAACAAAATTTCAGGACTTTTCAAAAATACATACATAAAAAAAAAAAATTGAAAAAGTGTGCATTGAAAGTTGCAAAAGCGAATTTTGGTAGAAAAGGTAAAAGCACCAATACCAGAGCACAAGAAAGCTTTAATTCAAAAATTAATTTTTTTCACGTTTATTTGTTAGCTGGTAAAAATATACTTTACAGAGGGTAAATTACAGTTGGTGAACTGCAGTAGGTGTCTCAACTTTGCTTCTGGGATTACATGGAATATTTTCTGTACAGAAGTGTTTAAAAAAACTAAAAGAAATTGAGCCCTCACCTGAGATCTCGAATGGAGAGAGTTCCTTTGAAGTCCCGCAGTATCTCCAGCAGGACCCAGGACCAGTAGCTGCGATAGCTCAGCTTGCCCAGGTCCGAGAGGGGCTTCTCTGGCGATCCTACGGTGCCTTCATACTTGGACAACTCGTAGCCTGAAGAACAAAATAAGTCATTGTGTAAAATGGGCACCAATAATCATTGATGGAAAAGGCCAATTCTTGATTTCTGGCCTATTATTAATGATATTCAAATGTCCAATCTTGATCTTGACTGAGCTACCATCGTCACCTAACCAAAAGCCATTATCTAATTGGTCAATGCACACTTTTTGAAGGACAGGCAGGACGGTTGATTGGTCACCAGCGAAGCATTCATCCTCGGTAGGTTGGTCTAAAATGCTTAACAAGACTAGTTCAACCACTGTCTGCTAAAATTTGGTTACCCATAGTTCTAAACTGAATTTTTCCAGAGAAAACTTGTGGGCTGATCTTTGAATACTCACTGAATGCGATCAGGAACTTGCCGTAACCTTTTCTCTGGAATGGCGGAAGGGTCAGGATGCATGCCACGTTGTTACCGTCTGGAGATTCCTTCTCCTATGACAAAACAAATTTCCAAATCGTCTTAAAAATTTTCTTATTTTTATTTGTTTGTTTTCCTGATGATGCAAACAAGGATTCCTCAAAAAGTGCATGGGCTCTGTAGCTAGAAAGCCTGGGAGAACATAATGGTAGATGATGAGGAAGAAATGACCGTTTTAAGAGGCCGGACGAAATGAAAACCCTGAACGATATTTCAAGGGGGAAACCTATGAAATTGAGGAAAGTTTGAAAACCCAATATTTACTCATTGTGACTTAGGTAGGATTGGAACCAGGGTCAACGGTTTAGAAGGTGAGAGAAGTACCACAGCAACTTCCTTACTCCCAAAAAAAATTGAAAAGTTACTTTTCAAAAAATAAGATCAGGGTAGTATAAGATGGAATTTACGTCGGGGAGATGTAAATTTTATTCAGGATTTTGCCCTTTGCAAAAAAAAATCTTATCGAGGAAAGGTAAAACCCAATATAAAAGATCAGGGTAAATTTCCCATTCCCCCCCCCCCCCATTTTTTTTACCCACCAGGGATCATTAGTTTTGAGTTAACCATCTTCTCACGCCATCTGGGATAGAAGAAATCAATGTAAGATTTCCGACTAGACTCACTTTTGAGAAATAGCCCACCAGATGAGCACCCTGTCGATCCACCTCGGTCAGGACATAGAAGAGAAATGGCTCTACGTCAAAGTACAACGTCTTGTGGTCCAGGAAGAGCTTGGCGAGCAGACACATATTCTGGCAGTAGATCTGTGAAGATTAAACACATTTTTGACGGGTGAAATTCCTCAACATCATAACAAGTGTGCGGACTATGAGCAGGAGTCCACGTTAAGCCCATGACAATTCTGTGACTTTAACGGGGACTTCTGTGGACTTGTGATGGACTTGACCACAACACTTACGACGTTGTACTTATCTTAGGCCAAAAAAAAAAAGTCTCCGGTTTCTGGTATGCGCGCGCGTCGCCGTAGCCATGCGTGTCAGCAAAATGAAAAGGTTTTTTGTTCAATGAAAGATGATGTCTCAAAACCGCCAAACTCACTGGTTTGACTGGAATCCTGCTGCTGCACAATTTTAACCTGTTTTTAGATGGGGTTATGGTCGGGAATAAGCTTTATGTGGCCTCTCTGGACTCCCATATATTTGCACTAAGTTTAGTCAGACACCATTTGCAGTCATCAGACGACATTTGAAGCAAAAAAATCAGGTAAAAAAAAAAAAAAAGCCACGTCGCCGCACCACTTTTTGGGCAAGCTCCATACCAGAAACCGGTTACTTTTTTGGGGGGCCTTAAGCATGGCACTGCCATTTTCAGTGTGACACGTGGTTTTCAAGCGTGTTGGACAATTGTTTGTTGAGGAAAAATTCTACATTTTATTTAAGTCTTGTAGGGGGGGGGGAGGTGTCGTGCTTGCTGCAACCACTTATTTATTAACCCTCCTGCTATTTAAGCAGTCACGGACAATCACAATTCACTTCCCCTGATTTACTTTTAACAACGGCTAGTCACCAGCAGTCAGATCATACTCAAGCAGATACTTTGCCCAGTCAAACTGGGTCAACAGACAACACAGGCAAGTTGTGGTCACAGCTGTGTTATCACTCACACGGAGTCAAAGCATAGCTGTATCAAGTTACTTAAGCAGTCCAAGGCAGTCAATCCTGCTTTATGTGGGCTGGGAATTCTTACAGGTTGTAAACAGTCACTTGATTGGTTTTGACTGCAAGAACAACTTGGCACAGAAAGTATGGAGGGTTAAAAACGGTAAATTTGACACACACACACCTTATGATCTCTGCCGTCTACCTCATAGACTGAGATGGTTCCCTTTCTGTAGATTTCCCGCCCCGGTGGTTGTCTCCTTATGCATTCACCCTGGATGTCAACACAAACAAGCAACATATAAAGTGGAATTCATCGAACGAAACTAGAAGCCTTTTTTTGTGGCGGTGTCACTCTCACGCTTATGCCGCATGCGTTCTTAAAGACGGGGCGCGCACGCATCTTGGTAGCCCATTGGTCGAAGGAGCACGGAGTGCGCGCGAATTACCAGAGCGCAACTCACACGAGCCTGGTGCTACCCCAGAAAATGGCTATCGGTGAATTACTCTACAAGTCTAACAGTGCAAAGTTGGAACGATCGAGTCATCTTTAACCCTAACCCTCCTCGATCCTCCAAAATCCTCCTTGTGGTTTTGGGGGATTTTGGAGGATTGAGGCTGAATGGTATTTTTTTAGAAAAGGATTTTGGAGGATTGAGGCTGAATGGTATTTTGAGGCAGGACTGTCTGATGATTTTGAAGGATTGAGGGGCTGGGTACCCTTCATTTGAACATAAGTGCAACATTTTTGGATGAGGAAGATTTTGGAGGATTGAGGATGAATGCATTTTGAGGCAGGACTGTCTGAAAATTTTGAAGAATTTAGGCGCTGTTGTAAAACTTTGGAGGATTTTGGAGGATTGAGGATGGTTCCTAGCAATAAGGCCTAGGGGTTAGGGTTAAACCGTGGCTGTTTTTACCACAAAACACATGCATCATTTAAAACGAGGGGAGGGTTAGGAGAAGTATTGTTAAGACTTAATTTCCACAGCAATCGGAATATTTACCAAGTGTCTTCTAAATGTCTTCTCAAATTTCATGTACTTGAGGCAGTATTCACAGATCCACAGCCGGGGCTGTTTGCCGTAGTCCTCGGGGAACGGAGAGAAGTACCAGGAATCAATCTCGTATCGGCCAATCTGCACCCGATCCACATACTTCACTTTGGTGATCTGAAGCAAAAAAAAAAAAGGAAATGAATTTCGAAATCTTATTTACACATGCGATCCAAACTGAGAAACAATAAAAGATCAGCAATCATGTGACTGAGTACATCAAAAGAGTGGGGATGGTGGGGGGGGGGGGGGGGGGGGGGGGGGAGAGGGAAAGGGGGGTTTTATTTGAATACTCACTGCTTCATGTTCTCTCTCCAATGCTGCAGTGGTAGGATCCATCTCAGCGTAACTCTGCAAAGATAACAAACCAAATCAAAATACGATCAGGATAGAATATTGTAAAAAGATAATTTGAGCTTGGATTCTGAAAAGGGCCATTCATATTTGCCTTGTAACAAAAAGTTCTCAAGCTAGCAAACGTAGAACAAGGGGAAAATGCTATAGGGTACAACCAGTATACTTCCAGAACTGTAAGGTTTTACACACATAGCAGGAAATTCTCAATTTTTTTCGGACCTCCAAACCCTCCTGTCCCGAAGTGTGACTCACGATATGAAAAGAAAGCCACGCTGTAGCCGGTCAAGAGAATTGAAGTGCCCTCAGTCGACGGCCAATGATGACAGACAGCCGAGTGCGAGACTCCTTTGATCCCGGTGAAGGAAATTCCGGTAAATTTCACATTTTTGTTTGGCATTTTAGGGATTTCAGCCCACCCTAGAGGTACCAATCCACAGCAAGATAGGGCCTAATACTTGTGAAATACTGAGGCCGAAGTTTTGTGACAGGAGAGTTTTGGAGGTCAAAAAAAGTCGAGAATTTTCTGCTACAGCAACTTCACTTGGTCCATCTGCAAGGTTTGTTAAAACCTTAGAGTTCTGGAAGAGCAACCAGTACATATTCCTTTCAACAAGACTAGCATGCCATGTCAAGCTTAATCCAAAAGTCTCAGTTGATGACTTTATTTATAATCAGTGACTCGGGGAGTCAGTCAGTCAGTGAGTTAGCAATTCGGTTGATCAGTCAGCAGGACTACCTTTTGGACGTGATTGATCTCATCATGCTTTCTCTTCTGGTTACGAGTGATCTTCCTGTCGGGCTGGTCATCAAAGATGACGGCCGATTCCCCAGCCTTGGTCTCCGACGGCTCCTGTACAATGTTGAGTTTCTCCGTGCCGATCCATTCATCCATGCGGCGATTCACTACAGACAAAGCAGAATTTACCCAACAGAGCCTTGTTTGCAATTGTGTTCAGTATAATAAGGAGATGCTCAATACCTCGGACATTTTTGCAAGATTTCTTAAACACACCAAAATATACCGCTTCACAAGAACCCAGTTGCTAATTTCTTTGTATTTAAAAGACTCTACCTTCCTCTTTAATACCTGTTAAATCCCTTGTGAGTGGGCTATGTGACAGCATGAATAAACGTTTATGAAATATCTATTTAAGTTTATGTAATGGATTTCACTTACAGCCTTTGTAGTGGACGTAAAACTCTCGGCGACCCCCCTCCATCTCGTTACTACGAGTCTGCACAATCTCTGCATTATCTGTTGAAAAAAGAATATCAATTTGTCAAAAAGGGTAAATATTTGAAATTAAGGCAAAATTTGAAAGTTAGAAATTTCAAGGATAACATTGGAAAGTGAATTCATTGTTACCAATGCCAAACTCCACAGTCACGTAAAAACACTTGATTTACTTACGCGTCATACAATTTCTCCAGCACGTTAAGTACTTACTTATGAAGCTTTCTGTGAATCTACAGACATGACAGACAAGCCGAAGATCTGGCATTCCGAAGAAATTTGAGGAAAAACAACAAAACAAACATGCACAACTTGGTACCCGCCCGTTCAACTTCACCATCGGCATCGAGCATGTTGATTCTCATGTCATGCATGTAATGGTTGTCTGTTTATGAATAGGTTTGTTCAATCAAACTAGTCTAACTAGGCCTAGTTCAATAAACATGCAATTAATGATGCATATGAACGACAGTGAAAGTGGAAATTTATGATAAGGAAGCTTACAAAAAATCTTAACTTCTCCTTTAAGTGACGACAAAGACAATATATGTGTACATGTACATCTTCCAATTCAAACCTCCCATAACCAATACTGTAGTGTAGGCCTTTGTACTTCAATATGCGTGTCCGGAAACTGGACAAGGCAAAACAGACAAAAACAACAACGGCCAATGCCATTCATGCAATGCCAACTTACGCCACGTATCATTTGTCCTCCGAACAAGACACGTTTCGCCGATCTTTAGATCCGACGACTGCTCGTCCATTTCAACGATTTTACTGCCGCCATTATGGTTGACGTTTTCTTTGCCTTCTGCCATGTGTATTCTGTTTACTGGTTGAGTTTCTGTCGTGTTTTTCGTAGCCGCGTTCGCGTGTTGAGTTTGGGTTTCGGCCATGTTGTTGTGTTGCAGAGTCGACTCTTTAAAACCCGAACCGCATCGGACACTCACTTATCGATTCCATTGGTTGTAGTAGGTGGGCGGAGTTACAGTTGGGGGGGGGGTCTGGGCATTTTTTTTTCGCACAAAATTATTTTAAAAAAAACTTGTGGCCACAAAAAACAGTTGCCCTTGTTTTTCTCTCAAAGAATCTGAGTGCTTTGCCATCAACTAGCAGTAATTTTCCTAACCGTATGTGGAGTGGTTTACTTTACAACCGTTTTTAGGTATTATTTCATCCTTGAAAGTTCGACACTAGTTAATGCATTCATCATATACATGTACTTCCAGTTCTACATTCACAAACAACTTCCCCCAAACTTCAAATAAAGAACATTTCACTTGTAATAAAAGTTTAAACCTGCCAACAAAAGTTGCAAGAAGACAAAAAGGACACTCAGACAGACTTGATTTTCCACTGTATCCAAGTTTATAGGCAGTTTGGTTAAACATTCCGTATCACAAAAACAATTTTTTTCAAAAATTAAGAGAGAATTTAGCATTTATAAATAACCAGTGTTGTTGTTGAGTACAGTTCATAATTAATGGACAGATATAATTGGATTTTTTTAACCACTTCGCACCGGGATTATTTTCGCTGAAAATTTCGATAAGGCAAAATTTCCAGTCAACTTCTGATGAACAGCCAAACGCCCAATTCGCAAGAGTAGTTTTGCAAGAGTAATTGTAGGATGTTTCTTGCCGAAACCTTATATGTTTTAATAAGCCAAGGTGTGCACTGGGATAGGCCGATCACAACTGCCAATGGACCGATCCAGTAAGCACCGCCCCATGGTATTCTGACCAATCACAGTCGTGATTTATGTCTGACATGCGTGCACAAAAGTCCGACATGTGTGCACGGGCGTATGACGCGTATGACCAGAGACCACATTTTTTTTTTTTGGCCTAAGCAATAATTTGTACATTTAGGCAAAGCTAACTCTGCCGTAAGTGAACATTATTTACTTTATACTTTTAGGTCTTTATTTACTCTACAATTATACATTAATAACTGTTTTTAAGAAAAAAAATATTTGAAATAATTTCAGGCAAGGTTATCATAGCTTAATAAGCTGCTTCTCCGTTAATCTATACTTTATTTTGTGACCAAAACAAAAGTTGTTTACATGAACCCGTGCGGTAAGTTCTTATCACCACAAAACTTAAAGGCCCTGAAAAGAATTTGCAAACTATGTAAACTAGAAGTATACTTTTTGTTGCCAGCTGCACATATTTTTGTAGAAGTATGCGAAGTGACCTGAAAATATACACTCTATTTTTTCATTATTCTTCTTGCATATTAAATAATACTATTCTCAAAAAAATCTTAAAACAAAACCAAGACATCGCTTCAATTAAAACATATTTTTCTACTTGTATATAAAAGTGGCTCAAATACAAATTACATAATCATTATTACGCCAACATAAATACATTTTACCACATTATCAAGGATGAAAATATTTTTTTTCTTATTAACAAAGTTTGACATCGGGAAACATGTTGAAACTGCGATACATGCCGGAGATGCATTCGAGTTGTGGTTTTGGCAAATGTACATGTGCATGAACATGTGTTTTCCATTTTCTTCTCTATGAGCGTTTAAAAGATAATCTGCAAAAAATCGAGATCACACCAATATATAAAAAAAAAAAGTGTTGAAGTTTGCAAAGTAGACGGTGAGGTTTTTAGTTTTGATGGTTTTGCAAAGAGTGTTATATCTGCCATATCTGTTCAAAAAAAAATCAATGGAGCAATATTCAGTAAGTAAATTTTCTAAGTCCCCGATTGTTCATTTCCTGTTTTCTTTTTACGAAAAGGTCCTCATATTTTGACGAAGAAATTGATTCGGTACATGTAGTAGGCAAGAGCCGACCATATGGAAGCGCACAGTAGACTCATAGCCAGTAACTCGGCGTGCGTGCCGTACACAGGATCCCAGCTGAAGGGGAAATAATCCATCAGAACCTCGTGGCCACAGTACAGGGTGATGGGGTTCATTCCTGTCAAAAGAAAAGGCAAAAATATTCTTTTAAACCTCTCAGTGTTCGAAACTTTGATTCTATCTTCTATAATTTATGAATTTTCAAAATAAACCACAAAGGGTTATTGACTGGGTGCATTGTAATCATTTTTTAGTTGAACAAAGAAATTGACTGGAGCGGGGTTTGAACCTGCGACCTCCGTATTGCCGTTCCAGTGCTCTACCAACTGAGCTATCCAGCCCTAATGATGGTGGTCATGGCCGTCGATCTTTATAAGTGGGGACGGGGGACATCCCCCCCCCCCCCTCCCCACTTTATAAAGTGGGGGCATCATATCATTTGTCCCCGCCCCCCCCCCCCCCCCACGTTTTTCGTCCCTGAATAAAAATTGTAGCCTACATTTGATTCTATAGCTCAGAATAGCGGATTCAATGATAAACACTCAAAAACGATGTTTAAATGATGATTTGTTGGTCAACAAAATTGGTTAAAGGTAAAAGGGGGGGACGACGAACCTGTGTTCACAGGAACGGAGTGCCCATCTCTCATTCATTTGCGATTGGGCCAGACTCATATGCTGCTGTGGGGGGATCGCCACACCTCCTCCACAGCGAGTCTGTTACCTTCCCAGCATTGAATAATGCCGGTACCCATTTAACACCTGGGTTGAGAGGAGTAATTGAGGTAAAGCGCCTTACTCAAGGGCACAACACGCATGGCCACGGTGGGGCTAGAACCCACAACCTCTTGATCACGAATCCTGTGCTCCACCGCTAGACCACAAGTGCCCACGCAAAGTTGGTTAAAGTGGTCAGCAATTGCCTCAGATCGCACCACAGAGCGTCTAGAACCCAACATTTTCCGATCTGTCTAAAGCATCACTTACCAGCAAAGAAGAACGGGACACCAGACCACCACTGTTTCATATCAACCATGATATAGCAGAATGTTAACAGTAGGAAGGACGTGCCGGCCATTGCTAGGACGAAAGACAGCGACCTGCCAACAGAGAGAACAAATCAGGTCAGCTGTATGATTCCACGTTATGGGAATATTCAATCACTTTGTCCAGAAGAAGCTTGCATTTGTCCCGGACATGTTTGGGAGTCAGGTTGGCGTAGTGGTACTTTCCTCGACTTCCACCGCTGTGACACATGTTCGAATCCCGCCTGGGCCAACATGTGGATTGGGTTTTCAGTCCCTGCCTGATTCTGTGGGTTTTCCCCAGAATATTCTTCTGGGGTTTTCCTCCCACCTCTAAAACTGTACATTCTTCTCACTGTCTCCTCTCTACAGGTTGCTTCAGGCTTGCCAGCTACAGTGTTTAGGGCGCTTTTGAGGACTCATTTTTCATACACTTTAGCATGATGATCCCTTCAAGAATATGGTTAAAAAAAAAAAACCAGTATGACACTGCATTTATTTGAGCAATGGACTAGTTTAGACTCACCACAGATTTTTGCTGATTGGGATCCAACCTTCTTCTTGGGAAACCTCACACAGGAGGAGTGCGGGACCACCCTAGGGGACAAGATAGAGAGAGAGACAATATTAACCCCTAACAAACACTTATCATTAAACACAAACACAAAAGCCATTCCTTAATCCTTAAAAGAGACACCGGACAAGACCTGCCCACCATCTACGATGACCTGCTGGCTTGAGATCGCCCAAAAGGTGGTCACATGACCGGAGAGGTTTAATTCACTATACTGGATGAAAATGTCGCGATGACATCAAAAGCTACGTCGCTGCAATATTTCTGATTCCAAAAAGGTTTCTAAATATTTCTTATCAACGTAATGGAATCTAATATCAGCATACATGCTGCTACTTATCACCCTGTTTTGTATTTTGTCCACAGCGACTTTGAAATCTTGACTCGAGAGATGTCAGCTCAACTTACCGTGATTAGAGTCCAGATGAGAAGTCGTTTGATCCTGCTGCCGTGATACTGATGAAGGAGCAAGATCTTCCCAGCCTGGGAGAACAAAAAATTAAAAATGTAAAATATATAACTCATCAGCTAACAAAATAAACACAAAAATATCTTTATGATTTAAGACAAATGAGTACCACCTTCGAAGTAGTCTTTTCAGCTATTTCATGCGACGTAAATTAATTTCAAGTTTTCAAATAAACCACACAGGGAAACTGGCTAGTGGTAATATCATAATTGTAATACATGTAGTTGAAAAAAAGAACTTGACTGGAGCGGGGCTTGAACCTGCGACATTGGGATTGCCGTTTCGGTGCTCTACCGACTGAGCTCTATGTTGGCGGTTCTCCATCTTGTCAATGTCTTTGTTCAAGGGCCGCTAGTCAGAAGCCATTAACCCGTAAATTGCAATGTAGCCAATGGAAATGCTGCAAACCTGGGAAATAGCAAACGGGGACCACTCAGAGACGATAATGGACAATAATTCAATTTCAACAGTAGAATGGTTTTACTTTTATGAGCACATTGCAAACACACCTGAAGTCCAAGAAACGTGATGAAGATGGACGGTATGGAGCCCAGAATGCCCTCGGGGTCATAGTTCAGCGTGGTGTGATACACCTTCATGCAGGTCGGGTGAGAGTACAGGTGTTTCTCCCCCAGGATCCACCTGTCTATGTAGCCCGTGGCACCCCCGGTGCAGTTCTCCACGTTTCCGGGTTGGTGCATCACGAGCGGGCCTCCGGGACCCAAGTAGCCACTGATGACAAGAATAAAAAAAAATTTAAATTTCATTTGAAATTTCATTTTCATCGCGTGACCCGAGCCCAATAATCGTAGCTCTGCTCACCATACACGAAGAATCCCTTCTAACTTTAGCGGAAAATTCTGCACCAACTTCAGCGTATTTGTAAGGAATACTGGCTTATACGCATACACAACTAGGAATTCTCGGCTTACTGGGTACAGCAGAACGTCGCTATCAGCTCCGTTCACAAGTGCCCCCTCACTGGCAAAGGAAGTACAGTTGGGGGGACCGACCCACGCCATCTTGCCTGAATGCAATTTTGCCACGATTCGCGCGGCCGTACCACTGTGTGTACATAGTACAAATCCCTGGTGTACGTACGTCACACACAAGGAACGATGCGCGTCAACCAGCTAAATGTCCCGTCCATGGGACGTCGTTGTTAGGTAAAAGGGCGCCCTCTTTTGTTAGCGCACGGAGCTCATAACATACGTTTGCACCACACCAAAAACAGTTTACAGTTTGTCTCAATGCTTACGTTGGACATCCCGGTACTGGCAAGAAGAAGACGAGGCATACATACACGACCATCAGCCCTATGACGACGAGCCACTCATGCCAATAGTCCACCAGGTCCCGAAACATGAGGTGGTATTTGTTCTACAACAGTAGTACAACAAAGATAGATAAATAAATTACGTATTTTTGCCGAGAAAATCCATCTAGGAAAATGTAATAAGCAACCACGAACTTGGCAACATAAAGTAGGAAATAACAAGATTAACAGGTTATTTTTTTTAAGGAAATCTGAAAACCTTAAAAGAGGTCAGTCAACAAGGCATAAAGAACAATTCATATTTAATGTGATGTTTACACGTTAAATAACAAATTTTCTAAATCATTTACAAATTTCCAAAAAGTTGACATGAAACCTGAATAATAAGACAAAGCCATACATTCACGCAATCTTTCTTTGAGTTAAACACACGTAGCACAAATAATTAATGAATGTTTCCAAACCTTAGAAGCACCTAATGCTTGATTGTACATTCAGGGTACGCTGGTCGGCCGACCAGCATTGGGAATTGATACAAAAATACCACTTTTCTCGAAAATGTCAGCACACCAGGTGCCATGCTTTTACAGGATGCTTTAGACTGTTATTTACTACCAGTCCGGTAAGGTACTTCATAATAATTTGGTAGTTTTGTTTGTTGATGTTTGCAAATGTTCCCTTTAAGAATGACCGCAAATGATTATTTATTTGTTGGGTAGGTAGTCTGCTATTCATAATCACTCTTGGAGGACGACTGCATTAAGGAGTGCATCAGAATTATAAAATCCTAGATGTCAGATGCAACAGGGACAGGTAAAAAGTTGAATCCCAATTTATAGAACGACCCATATAATTACGATAAATCAGTTCGTGGTGCAGCAATTGGGGGACAAAAGGGAGCTTTTACTGACCGATATGCGGTAATCCTCGATCTTGGGCTTGGCCGAGGTCAGATGAAGGCTTGCCACAACCAGGTAGGAGATAGCGAACCTCTGTAAGACCCCAGGAACCCGGAATGTGCTCAGGTCCGTTTTTCCTAAGATCCGGACGACAACAAATAAGAACCAGCCAGCAATGAGCAAGACAAATCAGATTTCCGATGCAAAGTTATGAATATACAAAGTTTGAAATTAAAAAACAACTTAGTCCTTACAAAATTCCATGACTTTTCCAAACTTTTGTCGTTTTTTTTAAAACAAATTTCCACGACTTCTCCAGACTTGGAAGTTGAAAGTTTTTTTCTGGGCCGGGGGACCCATGAGCAGATTCAGCAAATCATTATGCAAAACAAGACTACGTCTTGACCTCGAGATTCTGACCATTCTACATCGGTTCTTCAGTAACCCGTTGAAGTATTACAAAAACTTGGCATCCAAATTGACCAATCAACAGCTTAGAGCAAGTTCGGGCAAGTACCATTAGTCGACTAGTGGTTGATTTGTGACGTAACTTAACGTCTGCGCACTGATAGCAACGTGCGAACGTCTCTAGTCAAACGCTGGTCACAATGTCGTCCCAAACTTTTGGGTCCTGGCTGCCTGCTGTACGTTATGAATGCGCGCGGCTATTGGTAACCAGCGGTGCAACCAGCCCCAGTAGGCTGGTTCCAAATAGTCGACCATTGTAGACTAGATCGAGACAGAGTTCGGGCTAACCTTAGTCAAATTATGGTTAACCAATGGTCAACAATAGTTCTTGCGCGAAACTTGCCCCTAGCTGACTCACCATCGAGCATGATACCCAAGCCGAACAGAATGATGGTCCGTCTGATGATCTTCTTGACTATAGCCCACCGTGACACGTTGTGCCGGACCATACTACTGAAGGACAGCGACATGGAAGTGCCCATGATGAACACAAACCTGGGAAAAGAAACCAATTATACAAGTGAATAATCTGTGAAATTTGCAGTTACTTATCCTGTAACTTTCAGGAAAATTGGACAGACGTTGTCTGTAGAGACTGCAGGATGTTTCGTGAATCGTGGCCAGATTTTTATTAACTCTTTCAGTGCCAAACTCATACATGTACGAGGTATATTTGTTAGTCCAATAGCGCCAACCTCGTACATGTACTAGGTAATGTTCGTAAATGTTCGTACTTAAAATTGCCAAACCTCGTACATGTACGAGGTAGAGTAAATATGTTATCAAAAGGGGGCGCTCTTGCTCTTTCTAATGGTACCATTTTCATGCATGTACGACCTGTATTTATTTTTTCATTCGAGTTCTTGAGAGAGGGCGCAGCACTAAATCTCGTATTTTCTGCAAAAAGTGCGGAATCTCCCTGTGTTCAGGCCGGTGTTTCAGGGTGTATCACTATGTTTGTGACTACTTTTGACTTTCAAATATATCAAGGATATACCAGAGAGTAACAACAACAAATTTAGTGAGTAAAACTTATTTACTTTTTTTTTTACAGAATTTTGAACAATTAACAAAAATGCTCGAAGTTGGGCGCTTTAGGGTTAAACTTTTCAAATTTCGCGGGCACTGAAAGAGTTAATCGGGTACGTAGCTTCCATAGCGAATATTGAGCAAAAACAAGCCTAGATTTCGAATTCAGAAAACACAACTTTTCCGGAAATTTAACAAGCGTCGCCGTGTGGCTCTAAAAACGGAGGAAGTCCAGTATTTCCGGAAAGATTTATGGAGCTAGGTTGTGAGTTCATAAAGAAATGAACTACTCACCAAGGGAAGACCAGATCTGCAACCGTCAAACCTGAAAGATGTCCAAATGAAGTCATGAAAATTGTGACCCTTCTGAGCTAAAGTGAACACTAAACCTGGCTATCATGCCACCAAATCATAATAATCAATAACCGTCAGCAGAGAAAGTAAGCAAATGTAACAATTGAAAATTATTTGAGTTCATCTTAAACCATGGTGCTTACACCCTGTGGTAAGGTGGTTCACTCAAACCCTTGCTAGGAGTGCAAATCTATATTTTCTTGAATTTGTTTTTTTGAACAAAAATCTTACCGTTCCAGCGTGCGTGTTTGAAGAACCAATAGCCACCTCCGCCGTGATTGACAAAGATCATGACGACAATGGAGATCCTGAGTGAAAAAAAAAAAAAGTAGACTTTTGTAAAGATCCATCAGCTTCTCAAATAGACTGATTCATTTAGCCCCGCCCCAAGATGTTTTGACCAATCACAGCCGTGAATAATGTCCGACATGTGAACACAAAAAGCCCGATGTGTGTTCGCATGCTTAGGGTCCCGAAAAGTTTTTAGAATAAATCTTGGGGTCTTTCAACATTACAAATTATCTTGAGGAAAAATCCCCAAATCATGAACTTGACCCATGATGACCTTTGACCCCAGTTTGGTCATGTGGCATGTTGGGGCTGGGCTACTGATACTTTTCACAAAGTTGGGTTGAAATCGGTCAAAGTATGTGGGAGCAATAGACAATGTCAACATTTGCTACTAACAAACGGACTAACGGAGAGACATGATGTTTTATTGAGCTGCTACACCCAGCTAAAAACCAGTGAAATCAGCCGATCCGAGGAAAAATTGTGTGCCCGAGAGACGCACTTCTCATTTTGAAACAGCAAACATTTTGGAGTCAGAGTAAGGGACTCACCCTCTGAATGTATCCAGGGATTTGAGTCTGCGCGGTTTGGTCGGGTCCTTGCTGAAGCTGGCGTTGTTTGTGACTGGCTGCCGTGAGGGTGGTGAGCCTAGATCCTAGGGGAGGCCAGGGGGAGATTAGAATGGAAGGGTAGTGAGAAGTTATCATGCCGTCTCAAACTGGCTGTATGGTAGACTTCCTAACCTTCGGTTGTAACGTAAAGACTGAAATTTTTGAAGTGGGTTTTCTATTGATTGTGAATAAGAAAACATGTTTCAGAAGGCATGGAGTGCAAATCCAGCATTACGAAAGGAAGTTTGATGTCCGTGACAGAGCCAATTAACCATAGTATCTACTGAATGATTCAGAGAAATGATCCAAAACTCCTAGTCTGTAATCTCCTTGATCATTTATACGAAATGATGGATGTATACATTTTCAGGTGTATTCACAGCACCCGATTTCATCAAACTCTTCGTAACTTACGATGCATCGCAGCGATGCGACGCGTCGTATCTCTACGATGCGTCGCAGCTGCGACGCGTCCTGCGATCCATTTCACAAAACACGTCGTAAGTGCGACGCGTCGTAGGTGTTTTTATAGCACAACTCGGTGACTGTTTTATGTATATAGTCAGCGTACAGTAAATAGTCGTCTGATATTCAACAAAGAGTCGTCGGATCTCAGCTCGAAATTTGTTAAAACGTTAAACAAAATGGCGGCCGTGCGATGCAATTTTGAAGGAAAACAAATTCTCATTGGACTGTATAGCTACTTTGAAATTTCAATTCTAATATTCCGGTTTAATTCATAATTATTCAATGAATTTTCTATTTACAACTTTACACACATTGCCTCGGTATAATAATCTTGTTAATGTAATGTTTATGGCATAAAACTGGCTTAGAAATGACTCTTCTTATTTTGCGACGACCACTAGACACGTCTTAACTTGCGACGTGTTTTAAGCCGTTGTCAAGGAACTTACGACGCGTTCAACACATCGCAACTTTCGTGAAATGGAAGATACGACGCGTCGCGAGTTGCGACGTGTTACACGTCGTAACTCGAGTTGCGACGCGTCGCAGCGCTTCGTGAAATCGGGTGCTGATCTCTTAAAGCTCTGTCACGGACATTTACATAACGCTCAAATTGCTCTGGAATAGTAACGACCATAATTGCAAAATGCTTTGTCCACTTGAGCTACTACTTCGCATATTTACTGAGCATGAATGTTGGGTTTTTAGATCATTGCATTCTCGAACAAATAACAGCATTAGAAGAAATTTGTTTTAGGACAACTCTGAATAAATGAACTGATGACTCACACTGTTGACCACTCTCTCGGTGACGCACCAGTTGAACACACTATTGAATACGCCATTCCTGAAAAGAAACAAACAATAATAGAAAACAATCGAATGAATTCGTATAACTAATCACCAGAACACGGTTCAACACTTAAACTATACAACGCATAAATAAATAAATGCAAAACGTGTGGAACTGTTACGGTGTTCGACCCACGTGCCGTGGTACAAGGGTTCGAACCCTGACGGGGAACATGGTGTTTTGTGTTCTTGGGCAAGACACTTTACTGCAATTGCCTCTCTCCACCCAGGAGTATAAATGGGTACCTGTGAACGTAGAGACCATAATGCGCTGACCTCGAGCTGCTGCAAAAAAACCTGCTCTCATGGCCTGATGAACAGGGGTAATAATTGTGAAGCGCTTTGAAACCCTTGGTATAAAGCGCATTAAAGCCCATATTATTATCATTATAATTAAATCTTGACGTGGGAATGCTAAGTTAGAATACCAACATTCAAGTCTCGAGAAAAACAATCTCCAAATCTCGACTTTTACTTACGTGTAAGCAAAGTTTAATATGCCGTACACTACAGCAATCAGTGCGTACACTCCAATGGCAACATAAATGGCTGCAGAAGACAAAAGTTTAGTTGAGATAACGTGACTTTTGATGGCTTTCTAGAGGCGTATTTCTTTCAAACAAATATTGTGATCAACTTTACAGCTAGCTGGAGGGTAGGTAAGAAATGGGAACAGCAGGGGAGAGAACGAACCAGTTTTTCTTTGCTGAGCTACTGCCTGTGTTAATTTTTAGTTCAGAGGGAGTTGGAACGTACAGACAATCAAGTTTTTTCAAATATCACATACTGTTGGGAAAACATGTAAAAAATGCAAAAACATTTTTGATATCAATTCTATTATAATAAAAACATAGTTTATGTGAGAAAGGTGTTTTTGACTGATAAAATTTCTAAAAAATGAAATTTTCTCTTCAAGTCATTTGTGTACTAATGAAGGGGAAAAAAGAAAACAGGTACATGCATCAACCCTATATTTTGTTGTAACTTTTTTCATGTGACTAAACAGATCTTTCCAAGCTGGTTTCATGTTAGTCGGGTGCCACAGTAGCACAACTTACGTATGTTGGCATTGTCTGGTTCCCTGTTCTTGGAGTAGACACACACATCTGAGTTGTCTGTCGCGCTCTTGTTCTCGTTGACGAAGAGTGAGTAGTTGCTGTTCTCCCCAAAGTGTTTTGTCAACAGTCTAACAATTGAAAACAAGAATCATCGCACTGAAATCCTAAACAGTACTCTAAAAACAAAAACAACATTCTGGTCTATTATGAGAATAGTCCCGCACATGTGCACAGTGGGAGGCTCTTCATAGATAAGTCCTGCCCATGTGCGCAGTGGGAGGGGCTTCATAGATAAGTTCCGCCCATTTGCACAGTGGGAGGGGTTTCATAGATTAGTTTTGCACATGTGCACAGTGGGAGGGGCTTCATAGATAAGTCCTGCCCATGTGCGCAGTGGGAGGGGCTTCATAGATAAATTCCGCACATGTGCACAGTGGGAGAGGCTTCATAGATTAGTTTTGCACATGTGCACAGTGGGAGGGGCTTCATAGATAAGTCCCGCCCATGTGCACAGTGGGAGGGGCTTCATAGATAAGTCCCGCTCATGTGCACAGTGGGAGGGCTTTAAAAATAAGTCCCGCCCATTTCACATACCAATGCATGCCTATCGCAGGGTTCTCCCCAGGAGATACCATCTTTGGTATCAGAAAAATAAAGAACAGGCTTTTTTTCCACACTTTTCCACCCTTTAATGGAACAATGTGTACACAGTGCTGTCGAAACGGCTGGCTAACCCCAGTAACCTCAGTCATCCAGTGGAATCAACCTCTGTACTAGTAAGCAGAAGGTTGAAGGTTCGAGTCCCACCCGAGTGAACCTGTGAACTCTATCTTGCAAGCGCTTGAACATCACTGAGTATTCGGTACTCATAAAGTTTGGTTTGTGAAATGTAAAACCAAACATTGAAAATTTATGTCTGCTCGATGAAAGTTTTGAAAATGTTTTTGAGATCATCAGTGTCGAAAAGAGTCACTGAGTTTCACAGCTCGAGTCAGGCAGTGACTCAAGTAGAGTCATTCTCAGGCAGTGACTCAAGTAGAGTCATTCTCAGGCAGTGACTCAAGTAGAGTCATTCTCAGGCAGTGACTCAAGTCGAGTCTTCTCAGGCAGTGACTCGAGTCGAGTGAATCTCAGGCAGTGACTCGGGGCGGGATGCACTCAGGCAGTGACTCAAGTCGAGTCTTCTCAGGCAGTGACTCGAGTCGAGTGAATCTCGGGCAGTGACTCGGGGCGGGATGCATCACATTCCTGCCGGAGTCAATTCGTTTGCCGACAGTGACTCAGGTCGAGTCGAGTCATTAGCCTGTGATGATTCATGTCGGTTCGGGTCACTAAAAGTTAGTGACTTCAGTCGGACTTGAGTCAGACTTGAGTCGTGCCACTGACTCAAGTCATTACAAAGATGAGGAGAAAGTTGTTGTCAGACTTACTTGCAGCAAATACTGGATGAATTGTATACGGGGAGATTGGAGTGGGTCAAAGCCAGGGTCAGCTCCCACCAGGTGTCGAGATAAAGCAGCTTGGTTGTATTCCCGCTGACTTCGGCCAACTTTATAAGTTTACACTGAAATTACAAAGAAATAACGTTACAATTACTGGATCCCTGCCAGCTGCTTTCCAGTCGACAAAACGGTACAAGCCAATCTCATTGCCTCAAAATTATCCCTGCTGTGTACCGAATGTTCACTGAAAACAACCGAACAAAGCTTTGCTGTCAGTGTCAAACAATTTTGCTACAGAATCTCAAAAGACAAACTGCCCAAAGCCATACATATGGTTGAAATTACAAATATTCATGAAAATCATTTAATGTTCGCTGTTCTGTATCTTGTTTTGTGCACATACTATCAGGATATTCCAAAAAGATAAACTTTGCTAAAAAAAAAAAGGAGGAATTCTGTTAGGCCAAAAAAAAAAAATATTCGGTCTCTTGTCAGACCAAAGTTCCGGAATTGACGCGGTCACGCGGCTTTTTTTCTTTTTTTCTTCAAGCTTGGATTGTACAGGCAAGGTGGGGTACTATTTTGCTTTTTTGGTGTCCTCATGTACATTGGTATCCTCCATAATTTGCCTTGGTGCTTTCGATCATCTGCTTGGTGCAATTTCCCATTTCTTGGTGCTCTTAAGTAAAAAAAACTTGAGGAGGTGCGGAAATAGAGGGCGCTGTTGGAGCAATCACGGAACGTTTTGGAAAAAAAAAAGATTGACCCGCATGATTAAAATCGACGCGCGCGCTGACCAGAGACCGACTTATTTTTTTTTTGGCCTTAAATCTGGGTTTTTTTCAAAGGCAGCGTATATTTGACCGTGAACCGGTCCCCGATTGTTTTCAGTATTGTGCTGGCATGGCACTGAACATGCCAGTGACTGTTTTTTGGGACTTAGACTTTTTTACCATGACTAACGCTCGTCTGGTTTCATGTAGTTACATTGTTTTTGTGACTTCGTGGAAATCAGTCTTAATGCAATTTTAGACTTTATAGATCTCAAAAAAAAATTACTTCCAAAAAAAATTCCTCCAAAGCCACGAATCAGAAAAAAAAATCGATTTAATGAAAACAATAGAACAGAAGAAGACAATTCTAGCTTTATTGGGGACAAAAAATTCAAAATGAGTGCCACGACGTGCGGATCGAACTGCGTCAGCTTGAGTCTGAGTCTAACGTGCTATCAATTAGGCCACACGGTCACTTGGGTTTGAATAATAATTTAATATCTTATATGGTATAGGCCGCCATACGAGGGCGCTGTCCGATGTGCCGGCTTAAGAATGGAAAAAATGCGGGACCGGTTCACGGTTATAATATACAAACACTTCGTTTTTCAGTTTTGAACATCAGTTTTGAACATAACATTTGAGGTTCTAGGATGTTTGTAGCCCCACTAGTGTGGCCGCGGTATGCTGCGTACCATGCATGTACCATGCATTTATTGTCTGGGGGCCACGTGCACTGATCTCTATTCAGGATCTACGGCACAGGCAACAGCTGTCGCATTTGCAACTCGCGCCCTCGCTCGACAAGCCATTTGCATAAATGCGACGTCACAGCTTGAGGTCATCTCTTGTCACATCCAAAATGGCTGCCATCACCAGACGTTTCACGAGTGCATATGGGCTCCAGAAAGATTCAAGAATATCTCAGAAAATTAGACATCATTACACCTAAGCATCCCAGAAGTGATAGATGGGACATCGTAGAATACAACCATATGTAAGAAATTCCCTGCAATTTTTATGACGTCCTCAGTAGTGCGCGGACCACGGTGTGTGGCCAGAGGTTCAGCGCAGCATACCGCGGCCACACTAGTGGGGCTAGGATGTTTCATGTATGTACCTTATAGCACTCCTTGGACTGTCCCCATACGGCAATGTTGTCCGGTACATTATTGACAACATACAGAAAGGCGGTGTCATATTTGATGCTGTGATAACCAAACGCGTCGTGCCTACTCGACGTCAGACTTGAATCTTTAGGCAGATGTCTGGTACTCTGGGAGAAGCCGGTGGAAACATGGGGCGACTCGACATCTACATTGCCCGTAGGTGCGTCCACTGCATGCACTGGCGAAAAAAGGGGGAAAAATGTTCATGATTTAGGACGTATCCTTGGGTGGTTGCAGAGTTGTAATGACTCGAGTCAATGACTCGACTCGAGTCCGACTCGAGTCACATTTTTTGGCGACTCGACTCGAGTCCCGACGGGTAAATGACTCGACTCGACTCGAGTCACTGCGAGCAAATGACTCGACTCGACTCGAGTCCCTCATCAGAATGACTCGATTCGGCTCGAGGAAGGCTAATAAGACTCGAGTCCCAAAATAAAAGCAAAACTTACTTGCGAAAAATATTTGCAATTGACTTACGCTGCGCCGTTCGCGTTGCCAGTTTTTGTTCACGTCACGTTAATGTTCGCGAATAATGTACGTTTATATACAGCAGCAGTCTGTTTCCTTCCTCCATAATGAAACAACAAACATACACCGTGTCGCGGACTCCCACCTTGTGGTTCTATAGCATGTAATGCTAAACCCGGAACCAGACTTAAAACGCATTTCTCAATCCGTGGTTTCATCATTGGGTTCGGGCGATTTTGAAGTTCTTGGTGGAACGCTGGCTAAATTCATGTCCCGATTTCACACACAAAAATGGATACGGACGGGCCCACCTTTAAATAATCAGAAACAGTTTTGAATAATGCAATTAGGTTTTAACGTTGTCAGCGATCAGCGAACAACAAAATCTAGACCCAAAGCCAAACCAGTTATAAGACCGAATTTTCACATGTTCTTATCTGTTGGTTGGGTACCATACAGCGTACTTTATGTCTTTGGATTTCCGTAATAGACTGGTGCCTTGTATTCTTTCTCTCTTGTGTTTGTTGCTTTTTATTGTAATTAAGTGTTCAAATATTTGTGACTCGAATTGACTCGAGCTAAATACTTGACTCGACTCGACTCGACTCGACCACACTCTGTGACTCGACTCGACTCGACCTTGTTGACCTAATGACTCGACTCGACTCGAGTCACTTCTTTAAAATGACTCGATTCGACTCGAGTCACAAAAATCAGTGACTCGTTACAACTCTGGGTGGTTGTGTACAAAGACTACATTTAGTACAATCAAATCTGCCTTGAAATATTTACTCTCTACCACGAAATGAGAAATGTTTCTTGGTCAAAAGTAAATTTTTTCAACATTTTTTTTCAATATGGTAAAAAAAAGTTCTATCCAGATATTACTTAATTTAAAACCACATACAGTAACACTATGGGCGATTGTGTAACTACGGGCCCGGTTCCTATATATGGGAACAAAATCCACTTTTAAATTATTTGAGCTACCAAGTACCATCATTACAAACTAGTTAGCGACATTAAGAACATACAGGTGTGACATAGAAAAAAGGGCATGGTTTAGAATTTTTGAGGGAAATTTGGGGGTAAAATGACAATGACGACGACAAAACACAACATGAAAATGTTGGCGATCACCACGCGATGTACCGTAAACGTGCAAGGCGCGTTGAATCACATCATCAATCATGATATACATTCCGCATCTGCTGGATACTGCAACAATCTCCGCTACGGGATATGTAAGTTGCAGATGCGTGGTTGCTAGCGCACGCTAGCAGTGTTATCTCCAACCCGCCCTCCCCCCCACCACCCCACCCCGGCTCCCAGACCCCGCCCCTTTCCAATTTATTTTAGCTAGATCATATCACAATGGAGGAAGGAACACAACACAAGTCGGCCTGATGAGTGACAAGAGGTCAACTCTTCATAAGGATCTGTAATAGTGTAAAGGTCGAGACCAAGGTCACAACAATTCTCAAATCAAAGGACAACATGTCGATTTGTTCTTATCTTACCTGTACAGAAAGCCACCGCAAAAAATAAGAATTTGGACAACAACATTATCCAACTCGCCGACATATCGACTGATGACAGCCGCGGTCCTTACATGCATTAACGGTAGTTTAGGCTGGCTCCTTTCTAGTCACGCGTACAAACACGCGGGAATTCAATTGCATATGGAATGATACGAATAGGTGCCACTCCTAGTCACGGGAAGGCTAAACTGGCTTCACTGTCCCATGTTTGTTGGTGTGAGTCAGTTTCGCGCGTTGATGATATGCATGGCAAGCAGGAACAAGGGCGGATCCAGAACACATTTGGGGGGGGGGGGAATGTTGGTCCCCAAAAAGTGGGTCCCAAAAAAATACGGCGTGGGGTTCGGGGCCCACTTAAGGGCCCCGAATTTTTTGGGATTCTAGATGCTCTGTGTGGTGCGATTTAACTGAGGCAATTTAATTCTGACCACTTCAGTGTTTTTTGAGGAAAAGATAGATGGCGGTGTACTCATTGTCTGCCTTTATTGCGAGGTCACTTAAAAAAAAAGTGGGTTAGTTTTTGTGTGTGTGTTTTTTTGGCAGGGGGGGGGGCATGGCCCCTTCGCCCCCTCCCCCCCCCTCCCCGATCCAACCCGGTAGGAACAATTAAAAAGAAGGTTCAACAAAACAGCCGAATACAAAGCGAACTTGCAAATATAATTACAAAACCTATGAAGAAAAACAAAAGAGAAACTCCGAGAAAACTAGAATGGTGATGAACCGTATATTTTTTTGTGCACTTTGCAGACAGTCTTTAAACATACTTTTTATACATGCAGTTGTAATGTCAGGTTTTGTATGATTGGTTAAAAGTGAACAAAATTCTTATATCGATTCCTATACCGTAATAAATCAATATTTATTTGTTTGCCCTTCACCGACGTATAGACACGATACTCAGTGTACGTGTTACCTCCCAAGTGGAAGTTGGGGGGGAAATGCACTAGAAAGCAAGAAGTCGTGACGCAGTGATTTTTTTCCAACTTTCACTCTGTAGGTAACACACTGCTTATACGTCGGTGAAGGGCAAGACCTAATGTTAATTTCATCATTCCGACGCAAATTCATGTTATGAATAGTACGAAAATATTATACAGTGTTTAAATCCTTTGATGCTTTTAATGATTGGTCTAAGTATTTTAAAAGCAATAATTGTATCATTCATGTTATTTGACTTCTTGTCATGCATCGGTTGATGTAATATATAAAATGCATTTCGAAAAGCCATGATGGTTTCTATGAGCTAGTGAAGATTATTCAAAACGAAGAGTAAAAGAGACTTTGGTTTAAGAAAAAAACGATTGAATAATTCAAAATGAGATTCTCGCATAAGACAAAACTCACAAAAGGGTGCCCTCGGTACATTGCACTGCATTCTACGTATTTTACTGAAACGTGCAGTGCGCACAATTTTAACCAAATTCTAATTGTATACACACAAGTCATATTCACAGTGCGATTTCTGTGCGTTTGTTCTCCCCTAAAATTGATGTCACAGCGAGAAACCATTGTGTCTGCATTTTAACTCGCAACGGAACAAACTTATACTTTCACGGACAAAAATCGTTCAAACAACATTTGCAAACATCAAAAAACAAAACTACCAAATTATCATGAAATACCTTACTGGACTGTTAGTTAGTGAATGACAGTCTAAAGCATCCTGTGAAATCATGGCACCTAGTGTGCTGTCATTTTCAAGAAAAGTGGTATTTTTGTACCAATTTCCAACGCTGGCTTTTTTCTTCTTCAAAAACTGCCCCCAATTTACCATATTTAGTTAGTCCACATCTGTTTGCAATCGATTGCACACCTTTGAACGGGTACAAGCCAGCTAGACTGTTTCCTTGACCTTACAATTCGTAGACCTATTAATAATTGCTCCGTTTCATCTTACGTGGGATCCGGGAACCAGACTACAGGGAGCATGTTTGTTTTTCTTGGTTTTTCCAGCATCTACGAACACAAATCTTCAAACAAGTCAGTGTGGCAATATTTGCCATTAAATATACTAACCCCCAAATCCATCCATTTCTGAACATTACAGCAAAAGAAAATGTTGTATATTCCATTTAAAGCTGTATTTGTGTTGTGTGCAAGATAACACAAATTGTTAAAACTAAAAACTACTTTGCCAGCTCTGCAAAGAAGCGGGCGAGAGGTTTCATCGAAAGAGTAAATAATTGCGAGTTGGATTAAGGTCTTTAGTATCACTGGAGCCAGACGTTATGTCTATCCATGTTCATCATATTTTTTTTTTTCATAACTAATTTCTCTGTCCATTAGGCGCCCCAAGGACAGCATTTACTTCATTATTTCAAAGCTATACCTGACGAGAAATAAACTGCGACATTCAAGCACTTTAATTTGATGGACCCAACGCCGGGGTTGTGCTTAATGAAGCAAAAAGTGACTAATTACCTTTTTTTGTGCTCAGTAATAACAAAGTAATGAATAAAGGACCAAAGCATGCGTACATTTAATAGCAAGTTCATCCAAAAGTCAGGTTGTGTTGCTACCAGACAAAAAGTTTCCATGGAAACTGCTTGTTTATCAGAGACGTTGAAGGGACATTAAAAGCGACAGTTTGAGCGGCACTGATGTCATTCAATGGGCGCTGCCCAACGAGAACTGGTAGCCATTTTTGTGTTTTCGTCAGGCTCGCTTGTTTAGAGCAATGGAAGGCCTTACGGGAGGAATGTTTATATTTTGGATCCTTTCTGCGTGTTTTTTCATCGTTCTGCTTGCAAAGGAAACTAAAGGTATGGACAAATATTTAAAATGGTTAAATATAGACAAATTCTCGGACAAGATATCTTTTTTTGGTATGTGCTCTACTGAATATTTTAATGGCTCATCCTTGTTTGTAGGCCAACGCATTACAAAATGGAAGAAACTAAGTTGAATTTTCGTAATGAAAAAATATTACTCTTCATGAATTATTGGACTTCTTACCTCCGCCAGGTTATGTTTTCATCGGATTTTGTTGGTTGGTTGGTTGGTTGGTTTGTCTATTAACAAGATAAGTTATGGACGGATTTGCAGGGGGGGGGGAATAGGGGTGGTCCTTCGAATTCGTACAAGTACAAATCGATTAGATTTTGGAAGTGATCCGGATCTGGGTCTGATTCTAGGATTTTTGTTAAGGATTCTTCCCCAGCGTTAATGCGAGTATTTCTTTTGGGTGTACTGACAATATGGCAGGGAATTGTTTAGCCAGTTGGTGGAGATTGGCGCTCTCTGAGTGCTTTCTATGTTGTATTATGTACTACGTATATATAATTGCAAGTATGATGTTCTGATGTTTTAATTTTCAACGAAAGGTGTACTCATGTATATCCATTCAAAATAGACCATATACACTGCAAAAACTGCAGTGTTCAATTTACACCATTGGTATCTATATAGGACCATCTGGTGTTAAATTTTACTGGTGTTGTCCTATATAGATACCGAATGGTGTTAAATTAACACCACAGTTTTTGCAGTGTATCCTTCTCAACTCCACCTTAATATTGTCTGTTGACGTTAAATTGAGTGGGGTGATTGTTCATTTAGGTTTACAAATATTTGGCTTCATCTGGACTGATAAGGCTCATTAAAAATGAACGTTTGTAACGCAGAAAAACTGAGGATTCTGTCTTCCTTGAGGGAGGTTGAATGTAATTTTTGGAATCCATACGCTTCTTAAAGACTGTTAAAAAAATAAGGTTTTTGCATGCTCTTCCATGTCCAAGCAATGCCGTGCACCATTAACCAGGAGCCTGACCCAGAGACGAGCCGCTACCGCTGGTTGATTCAAGCCGTGGACCCGTGTAAGTGTACGGAGATCGGAATGGGTGGCTTCAGCACCTTCGTACCGTACAGACCTTACGAGGTGACGTACTATGACACCTTTATGATCAGCAGCGATGCTGAGGAGATAAAGCAATGGCTGAACTGCCCTGGTGAGTACCCCAATGCAACACCCCCCCCCCCCTCCTTCCGAGACGCGGAGGGCCAACTCTGGCCAGCTCTGGCCCCCTCCCTGACGTTTCAATAATTAAGCAACAGAAAGAGAGAAGATGTCTGTTCCAGATCGCTGTTGCAGTGTAGTCATCCCTTTTCTTTCCGCAGATAAAGATAAGAAAATCAAAACCAACATCAATGATATTCAAGACAGTTTACCCATTCCAATTGGTCAAGTGCACGTCACGTAGCCGGTCTTAACCGGATAATAAAGACCGGCTGGATGGTCTTAAACACTTTTCCAGTGTCACATGAAATTTGGACTCCTATGAAATCCAGTGCCTTTTACCATTTTATTGGTTGAACGTTCACAATCCTCACGCAGGCATGCGCAATACTATACCTGTGAGTCAGTATTTCATAGTCCTAAATTCACAACGCACCGCCACAGCTGCATTCTGCGCGACATCGCGCGCTCCAATCTCCGTAAAAAGGAGTTATTTACGACTTACTCGCGACATGGACACTCCCTTATTTAACTAGAGGGGTGTTTCGAAAAACATGAAGTGTAATTGTTGAACAAAATCGTTGGAGATTTTAAGTTGTTTGACTTGTTTTGACTTTTGGACCGAAAAGTTAGATTTTTTTTTTAATCGAAAATGTATTTATGAATGGGAATAAATATGTGCTTGGTCGGTATTAAATATTATGTTTAAGCTCGCGTTCGGCTCGGGTAATTATCAGCATCCAGACTCCAACCGGTCTTAAACAGAGTGTTTAAAACCGCCTAAGCACATTTATTTCATTTTTTGGCGATAAGCAAGAAATTAGATGTGTTTGAACTTCGGTGCAATTTCTTTTTCACTTTTTCTTGATATGCCTATTTTATTTATCTTTTAAAGCTTGTTCCGTGGAGGGACCGCTTGGGATGGAGGATAAACGCATCCCTGATGATCGTATAACAGCGTCGTCTGTTTACGATGGAAGACAAACAACTCACGGACCCGCTAGGGCTCGGCTCAATACTGAAAGTAAGCTTTCTTCTCATGGACAAAAATGCATGCTATTTTCGTGTTCCTCTGAAAATCATGGTAATGTTCCATTCGATATATATGTTTTCTAAATTAATATTGTCTTTGGAATGAGATATCGACTGGAAAGAAAATCAGCCAACCCTTAGTTATGGATTAATTACAGATGTCCAATTATTTAAGGCTCAACACTGCAAAATGGGAGACTTTGAGACTCTTGGGGGCAGCAAATTGGTTGAATTTTTTTTCTCTCTCTCTTTCGTCATTTTGAACATGCGCACGCTGTCTTAAACGTGACCCAAACAATTGAAAATGGCCGATGTGTTTGCTGTCACTTTTGAACTCCATGTAGACAGACTTTCTGATGGAGGTCAATGGCTGCCACCGGGCAACTCAAAAGCCTCCCAGTCAGTTCTCACAGTATAGACTGGTTCCGGCCCCTCTTAAAATCGATAATGTAGGGGCCCGGAACCAGCTCAGGCTAGGATGGCTACACAGTGTGGATCTGTTTTATATTCATGTGAAAACGTTAATACCACCGGATTGATCTAGTCTGGATTACAGACGAAAAGATGACTGTTCTTACAAATGTTATTAGGCGCCACGGTAGGTGACAAAAACGGGCCGGATCCTGATCATTTCCGAAAATGTCCGAAGCTTGCCGAATACATGTCGTAGAAACTCAGATATGTTCGCGATAACTCGGGTATATCCGGGTGTAACATGGCTCTTATTTACCAACAAAATACCTGTCACGCTTGTCAACAGTTCGGAATAATTTTGAGTTCATCAATTCAAGGCTTGTATTTTAGAATTTCAATGTCAGGCGCATTATCCAGTATATTCTAGAGGCTAATATACACTCATAATACGAGGGTGAACTTTGCTGCGTCGTTTGATTGCGACGGTAATATTTGACCAATGATATATTTTTGAGACGTTAGGATCGTCTTGACTAAGAACCAGGTTAAACAAAAGATACAAGGATTGTGCATGTCTACTTTGTATTTTTTTACGCTCTTAACCTATTTTTTTAACAGGATACGCTGCAGCCTGGTGTCATGCCAACTTGGATAATGTCAGTCCATGGATACAGGTTGACTTCAATGGCACAGTCACCATCACTGGTTTGATCACCCAGGGGCGCGGAGATCTCGACCAATGGGTGACCGAGTACCAAGTGACGTACAGCAATGACGCTCAGTCCTGGTATCACGTGACTGATGCAGACGGCACACCAATAAAGGTAGAGTTATTCAACACTCTGAAAAGTTGTACGCTAACTATCATTATACGCCATTGTTATCAATGCTATTAACTGATAATATTTATTTTCGAACCTATATATGATGAATACCACCTATGTTCGTTTTGTTTACAGTTCCCTGGTAACACAGATAGGAACACGCTGGTAACTACTCGGTTGCCGTTTGCCTTGCACACCAGAATCCTGCGCATTCACCCCACTGATTGGAACGAACATTGCAGCATGAGGTTTGAAGTGATTGGCTGCTATTAGTCAGACTATTTACATTGTCGATGAATCAGTCGAGCGAATTAGCCATTTGCGAATAACCTATACCCTTTGCGAGTTACATTTGAATGCTTGGCACGTTTAACTTTGAATTCTCCAGACCAAAGACACTGTTGCTATATCACAGGGTTTGGGGCAAGCTCTTGCACAGTTACGTAAGAGACGCTCAGCACCAATACTTGGCACAAATACACCAGACTATTCCGGAGCTGGGGGTTGCTAGCGTAAGGCTTGCCCCGAATCACGTCATATAGCAAATTACAGTCTCTTTGGTCTGGAGAATCCAAAGTTAAAATGTGCCAAGCATTCTCGCAAGCCACTCAGGGAACGTTACTCGAATTCAATTCGCAAATGGCTTATTAATCTAATAAAGCTTATTATATAGGCTTTAACTACAAAAGAAAAATAATGTTTATGCTTGTAGATACTGGATTTAAACTAGATATAATACCATTTCGTGAATTTCATTGACACTATAACGATGGACGTTTGAAGCGTATATTTAGAATGTGGGTAGAGATAATTAGTGAGTGAATTTAATAAAACTGAATATATTCAGATAATTATGCCTTCAAAGTTTCAAGACGTAATTGATTTCTTTTTGTCAAGCAGTGACAAAAGCGGTATACGTTTAGATCTTGGACCCGTGCACACGCACGCAGTATTAAATCAAGACGTTTGCCAATTCACGTATGAAAGAAGGCTGGGCAGCGCGCAGCATTTACTTTCTTTAGCCTGGCGTAAAGTTCTAAAGAACAGATTCTGACCTGAAAACCATCCGTTTATTGTTAGGAATTGGAGATCGATAAGCCAACTGGCGCACTGACCGTGTCGAGGCCGACACAAATTAAATTCCATCTCGTGTGGTATGCAATCGTACGTCGTTGGCCGTTGACGGCACAGTCTTATCAAAGTTTCGAAATGTGCACGCAACTTACAGCTGAACATTATTAAACGAAACGGCATGAATTTTCCCATATGTCAGCTATGGCATATAGCCAGTGCTGTTTGGTACTTTGCTCTATTCGCCATTTGCGTGATCCAGAGCGAAGCTGCCTCTAATCTCCCTACCGTGACATCTTTGGAATTCACGGCTGCCTCACAGTTCAACAGTCCTGTCAAATATCGAGTGATTCGGTCAAGCCAGCGCGGATCTCGCCTGAGGTGTGCCGCGGCCTGCCTCAAGCAAGTAAACTGCAGCTACTTCAGTTATACCACAGACAGCAGACAGTGTGAATTGTGCGATGACTCGATCGTTGCAACCAACGAAGAGAACTTGAAATACTACAGGAGAAGCGGTGAGACTTTTTTTGTTGCTGTTTAAAACAAAACAAAAATATAAGAAACTAGAACTGCGATGGAAATTGTTTTTATCTTAGCATCCTAAGATCACGGAGTTACATAGTCACTGAGTCTTGGGAAAAAGACAACAAAATGTATTATTTAAAGGGGCATTGGTATAAAACCTCTTCTCAGAACGATCGCACATTTTTCCTTAGTTGACGTTTCTTGCTCTGTGGAGGCACCGCTCGGGATGGAAGACGGTCGCATTTTGAATGAGAGCATCACAGCTTCGTCATTCTACAGCGCTGACCATGCCCCATCCAGGGCCAGACTTAACATTCAAGGTGGGCATTTTGGATTGGAGCATAGTACAGCCCTTTAATTGGAAGGCCCTTTTTTATTTTTTATTGCACCATGCTCCAACTCAATCGAGCAAGTTTATCGAGGACTATTGGTGTACTAGTTTTAGATACGTGACATTGTGGCTTAATAATGCCTGCGTACTACAGGGACCTCGCAGTTCTAGATTCTGCGGGTCCCCTCCATCCCTGCTTTGTATTTCTTAACACCACGAAAATTGGTTTGCTTTGTCATAGTTTTGTATAATAATATAATAATAAAGTGGCTTATTATTGAACATATGTACATATCTTGGATGGAAATATGGTCAAGTAAGTACGAGCTACTTGCGACCGTTAAGTCGGAGTAATGCCGGTCAACTTCATGAAACGTGTGGCTCCTGACTCCCTGTTGCGCATTGTGATGCGAGCGGCTATCGTAACGAGCGATGCGACCGACCTCGCAAACTTGCCGCGAGTAGTGGACTGTACACTCGTCCAATGTGCTCGACTAGCGGTACTTCGAGCGAAGATAGTCGGACTGTGCTTAAACATAGTTCTCGCTCCAGATTACACCGTTAAGTTCAGTTTAGAAAAAAAATGTCATTTATTTCGTTGAACAGGATACGCTGGAGCCTGGAGCAGTGACACTGCTGATGTCACTAGTCCATGGATACAGGTTGACTTCAATAGACCAGTTACCATAACCAGTTTGATCACTCAGGGGCGTGGTGACCCCGGATTCACCCAATGGGTGACGGAGTACCAAGTGACGTACAGTGATGACGCTCTGTCGTGGGATCACGTGGCTGATGCAGACGGCACACCAATAAAGGTTGGTTTATTCAGTACTGAACAACAAGCCGACAATGCTATCAATGCTTACTAATGATATTTAAATTCGAGCCTTTCAAAAATGAATACCTTTCCTATGTTCTTTTTGTTCACAGTTCCATGGTAACAAGGACAAGAGCATCCCGGTAACTAATCGCCTGCCGGTTGCCTTGCGCACCAGAATTCTGCGCATTCACCCCACTGCGTGGTTCAGGCATTGCAGCATGAGGTTTGAAGTGATTGGATGCTATTAGACAGACAAGTTAACACTGTCGACGAATCAGTCCAGTGAATTCAATGGATCACGTTAACGATGAGCATTGTCTTTAAGAATAAAAAGAAAATGTTTATGTTTGTAAACACTATGATTTAGAATTGGTTAAAGGGTTCACGACATGAAGTTTACACTGTAACTTAGGCCAACAAAAATAAGTCTCCGGTTTCTGGTATGCGTGCGCGTCGCCGTAGCCATGCGCGTCGGCAAAATGGAAAAGTTTTTTTTTTCAATGAAAGATGATGTCTCAAAACCACCAAACTCACTGGTTTGACTGGAATCCTGCTGCTGCACAATTTTAACGTGTTTTTAGATGGGGTTATGATCGAGAATAAGCTTTATGTGGCCTCTCTGGACTCCCATATATTTGCACCAAGGGCGGATCCAGAACACAATTTTTTGGGGGGGGGGCAAAAAAAAATTTGGTCCCCCAAAAAAGTGGGTAAAAAAAAATTACGGCGTGGGGTTCGGGGCCCGTTTAAGGGCCCCGAAATTTTTTGGATTCTAGATGCTCTGTGGTGCGATCTGAGGCAATTTCTGTCCACTTTAATCAATGTTTTTTTAGGAAAAGATGGTGGTGTACTCATTGCCTGCCTTTATTGCGATGTTACATAAAAAAAAAAAAATTGGTTTCGTTTTTTTGGGGGGGGGGGGGGGGGCCATGGCCCCCTTTGCCCCCCCCCCTGGATCCGCCCTTGATTTGCACTAAGTTTAGTCGGGCACCATTTTGCAGTCATCCGCCGACATTAAGAAGCAAAAAAAAAAACAGGTTAAAAAAAAAAGCCGCGTCGCCGCACCACTTTTTGGGCAAGCTCCATACCAGAAACCGGAGACTTTTTTTTTTGGGACTTACGTTGTGCAAATATCCCTCCCTCCAAATGTATACAAATTATGAGACATCCCTTTTCAATTAACATTTTTTGTAAACACCACTTTTGTTTTTTAACCGTTTCCAATATTCAATGTTTTTTCTGACCACTAAGGCCGCTGTTGCTAGGTACACACTCTTCGGTTTTAGGGGTTTTCTGTTCAAAAAGTGCAACTGAGTTTTTGGTTATTGAAAAACGTTTCTGCGTACATTTTGTTCACAGACTTACTTTCAAGTAAAATACAGTAATGTATATCATCAAATCAAAAAAAAAAATAGAACGGCAAAACCTCCACAAATCTGGAAACTTTTGATGATGGAGCAGATATAGCATTGAATGACATCACAGTTTTGCTCATGAATATGGATGAGCAGCAAAACCAAAACCAAAGAGGCTTCAAGACAGCTTGGAAATAAAGAAAAATGGGACATAAAGCTGCATTAAAAAGATTGCATAAAATGAATTGCATTAAAAAGGGTTACATTAAAACAAATTCTATAACATGGGCCCTTTAAACGTTACCATTTCGTGAATTTTATTGACACTAACTTTTACGATGGATGTTTGGAACGTTTATTTCGGATGCGTGTAGAGAAAAAAACCCGATTTTATAAAACAAAATCATCCACATTCATTTAAATTTCCACGACAATTGAGACAATGTAAGCCAGTGATTTGTATCCTTTATAATGATGAGGTTTACCTCCGACACTGCAAATTAATCAGATTAAAGGTATGTATAACTCTTACCAAAAGAAGTTGACCTGTGTTATCAATAAGATTTTTTTTTTTTTTTTAGATTAGGGGAAGTTATTGTCAGAAGGTCGGGTTATTTCACGTTGATTAGCGTCATACTATTTTAATTAATATTATATTCTATTTTAGTTGTTATTGGTGACTTTATTTTAACGTTAGCATTTAAAAAAGAAAAAAAAAATAGGCACTAGCAACGTTCCACAGTATTTAAAGGCCTTGATCTAGACCATTTTAATTGTTTGAAAACGTGGTGTTTAACAAATGAAAAGAATTAGTTTTGGGGAAATATTATGATCCTGAACAAAAACACCGGAACGCCCCCTTTCATTTTTATAATTTGGGGAAGTATGCTTGAATGCTGCCTTTTATGAAAGAGGAAAACTGAAGTGATTATTTCGAGAAAGTCCGACCAGTTTCTCTTGACTTGCAAGATAATAATTGCATTGTATCTATAAGCTGGTTGTATCTTATTGTTATAGATAGTGTGCTCACTGGACCATGCCTCAATTGCAAACCGAATAGAAGGCAATAATTAAAAGAACATTCTCAAATATTTAAAGAGTTCACTTAAAAGTGAAATTTGCCGTGGATTTTGTGTAAGTTTAAAACGTTTGGGGTTGAGTGTGACAGCGCCCTCTAGAGTCAGATGCCGCCCACCCTTTCTTCAAATTTAAGTTACTTGTTGACCAATCTTGATAAGAAAACACCGCTCCTCTCAATCGGAAGGGGTGGGCTGTCGTCCAAAAGGCTTCTCAGAAATTCCCCTCTAACATTTCAACTACAGTACAACCCAATCATATTCAGCGCGCATGCGCACGTATGTACGTGCACTGTATACCAAAAACTCTATAAAAAAATATATAAAAAATCACTTATCACGCGAGTTTCTGGTCAAGTCTCGTTGCCACTATATAGCTAATGCGTATTTCTTGAAAAAGGAAAAAAAAAGGAACTACACCTTCCTAAGTACGCTGAATATTTTTTTCTAAAATGAACAGCGTTTGAAGGCAAAAAGATTAACCTAATGATCAATCTATTTTTTTTTTTACTTTTACCTTGTCCTATTCAATAAGGGTTAAAAATCTACATTTTGAGGTCTCAATTTAATTTTGACTGCACAGTTTGTTTGCCTAATTACCGTTCGTGCGTTTAACTGAGCAGCAGAGGACTGGCTCAAGTCAGATGAAACGTGACTGCCTCTCACGCTATTGTTTTGTTTTCTCTGTACATAACCAGGTAGATCGACACAATGATGTTCAAAAGTGCAACCCGTGGGTCCATTACTGACAGCAGGCATGTCTGAACCAATTAGGCCAAAAAAAAAAGTCTCCGGTTTCTGGTATGCGCGCGCGTCGCTGTAGCCATGCGCGTCGGCAAAATGAAAAAGTTTTTTTATCAATGAAAGATGATGTCTCAAAACCGCCAAACTCACTGGTTTGACTGGAATCCTGCTGCTGCACATTTTAACGTGTTTTTAGATGGAGTTATGGTCGAGAATAAGCTTTATGTGGCCTCTCTGGACTCCCAATCCCATATAGGCCTATTTGTACTACGTTTAGTCGGGCACCATTTGCAGTCATCAGCCGACATTAATGAAGCAAAAAAGTCGGGTAAAAAAAAAAAAAAAGCCGAGTCGCCGCACCACTTTTTGGGGCAAGCTCCATACCAGAAACCGGAGATTTTTTTTTGGCCTTAAGAGGCATTAAATAAGTCATCTCTATGTTAGGCCCAAAAAAAATCGGTCTCTGGTCAGCGCGCGCGTCGATTTTAATCATGCTCGTCAACCTTTTTTTTTGGTTCAAATTAACACGGAAGCTACAACAGCGCCCTCTATTGCCGCACCTCCTCAAATGTTTGTACCAAGGAGCACCAAGAAATGGGGAAATTGCACCAAAGCAAATGACAAAGGGCACCAAGGCAAATTATGGAGGACACCAATGTATAATAAGGACACCAAAAAAGCAAAATAGTACCCACCTTGTCTGTACAATCCAAGCTTGAAAAAAAAGCCACCAAAAAAAAAAACCCGCGTCGCCGCATCAATTCCGAACTTCGGTCTGACCAGAGACCGATCTTTTTTTTTTTTTGGCCTTAGGATCGTCGGTCGCTGCCATGCAGCACTGTTCGGAAGTTCGTGTCAGTATATACCACTATGCTGTTGTGCAGGAAAGACGCCATGAATCTGTCAATTTGTCAGCTATGGCATGACTATGTTATTTGGTGTTTTGCTCTATTGGCCGTTTTTGTGGTCCAGGGTGGAGCTGCCTCTAACCCCCCTACCGTGACATCTTCGCGTTTCACGGCTGAATCACAATTCAACAGCACCGTTAAATATCGAGTGATTCGGTCAAGCCAGCGCGGATCTCGCCTGGGGTGTGCCGCGGCCTGCCTCAATGAAGTAAACTGCAGCTACTTCAGTTACACCAAAGATACCAGACGGTGTGAATTGAGCGATGACTCGATCGTTGCAACCAACGAAGAGAAGTTGAAATACTACAGGAGAAGCGGTGAGACTTTTTATTTTTGTGGCAGTTTTAAAAAAAAAAAAAAATTGAAAACTAGAACTGCGAGGGAAAATGTTTTATACGTGTATTTTAAAGGCCTTAATTTGCAAACATGTATCTCTATATGTATCCTAAGATCATTTTCTTGCTACAGTTCAGGAGTCGTGGCAAATAGACCCTTTATATTTTTGTTTTCTTTTATTAAAATGGTCATTGGTATAAAACCTGTTCTCGGAACGATCGCACATTTTCCTCAGGTGACTTTTCTTGCTCTGTTGAGGGACCTCTCGGGATGGAAGATGGTCGCATCCCGGATGAAAGCATCACAGCTTCGTCTTTTTGGGATAACCGCGCTGATCATGCCCCACCCAGGGCGAGACTGAACACTAAAGGTAAGCATTTCTATTTGAGATTAAACATGTTATACTTTTTACAGCTATTTAAAACAAGGCTCTTGTTTAATTGTACCATTGACTGCTCGACGTGTGGTTGATTCGAATTAGTTACGCCTGTGCATGGGCGTCGCCATGATTTTTTTCAGGGGGGGGTGGCAAAGCACATTTTCCCCCAAAAATTCTAAACTTTTTCAACATATTCTAAATGTATCATTTCTGAGCGTGGGCAGGGTAACAATTGCGCGCTACCCCCCCCCCCCCCGCCAATCAAATTATTTTTTTCCGGGGGGCGGGCAAGGGCGGATCCAGGGGGGGGGGGGCCAAAGGGGGCCATGCCCCCCCCCCCCCCAAAAAAAAAAACGAAACCAATTTTTTTTTTTATGTGACATCGCAATAAAGGCAGGCAATGAGTACACCACCATCTTTTCCTCAAAAAAACATTGGTTAAAGTGGTCAGAAATTGCCTCGGATCGCACCACAGAGCATCTACAATCAAAAAAATTTTTACATTTTTTTGGGTCCCCCCCAAAAATTGTGTTCTGGATCCGCCCTTGGGGGCGGGCAAGCGCCCCCCCCCCCGCGATGCCCATGCGCCTGTGTACTGATAGCAACATGCGGACATCAATAATCGGACGATGCCGTCAACGAGGACGGTCCAAAATAGCCCACTATACGCTAGTCCAACGTCGCCTAGCGTTGGTTCGGACAAAAAGATTGTCGGCAAAGATTGTGTAAATATAGTTCTCGCTCGGATTTCAGATTCGAGCCAGATATCTTGCAATAGGGTTATACAGTAAGAAATGTAAGTTACTTTGTTGAACAGGATACGCTGGAGCCTGGGTCGAAGACAGTGGTGATCTCAGTCCATGGATACAGGTTGACTTCAATGGCATAGTCACCATCACTGGTTTGATCACCCAGGGGCGCGAAGATAACGACCAATGGGTGACGGAGTACCAAGTGACGTACAGCAACGACGCCCAGTCCTGGCATCACGTGACTGATGCCACACCAATAAAGGTATATGAATGTTCAATACCCCAACAAAAATGTAAAACTCGTTTGCTTTAATATTGTTTACGCCATAATGAAACTATCCGAACTTGTACAACATGAACACCATTCTTATTTTTTTGAACAGTTTCCTGGTAACTCGGACAGGAACACGCTGGTAGCCGCTCGTTTCCCGTTTGCTTTGCGCACCAGAATCCTGCGCATTCACCCCACTGCATGGGTTTTGCATCGTAGCATGAGGTTTGAAGTGATTGGATGCTATTAGTCAGACTAATTACATTGTCAATGAGTGAGTCAAGCGAATTCAACGTTGAGAGTAGCTCTGTTATAGAACAAAACGCAAATACTTATTCTCTGTAAATACCGACTCTTAACAAGAAGTCTTTGATATTTTGATTAAAATTTGATTAATATTTTTGTGTGAATATATAAATTCTATAAGAGATAATCGTATTGTCAGGACTTAATGTAAAAACAAGCCTTACAAATTCACCACAAATGCAAATCTCCCCGGAAATCAGAACAGTTTTAGAGCGAGATTGATTTATCATGTAAAGGGCTTAATATTACTTTAAACAACGGCAACGGATAGGATCAATGTTATGCACGAATTGAAGAAAAAAATTCCCGTGGTATAAAAAGGGACGAATTAACTTTCCCACATCGAATTGAAGGCTTCTTTCATGTTGATTGTCATCATATTATTTGCATTACCACTGTACACGTATGTGCTTGCTTTTTAATATGCCATATGTTTTAACACTTACAAGGCATGTTATTGTTTCTTAAAAGAAAAAATAGCGTTTCCTGAATGCCAGATACGTCCCTGGAACCGTTTGTATTTAATACAAAATTCAGTGTGATGTTTCGAAGTAACCATAGAGACAGCCTTTAACGGATTCAGTGTAGAGCTAATTTAGAAGTAAATGAAGTGTGACTGATCATCCAAGGTCTAGCCAGATAGATGGCCTCAACTGACGAGATAAAGTGCATTGCATCTAACTAATTATATCTTGAATAATAATAATAATAATAATAATACTAATGTGGTGCTTTATATAGCCCCCTAGACCAAAGGTGTCAAAGCGCTTTACGGTTATTACCCATGTCCATCAGGCCACGAGACCACTTCTGCAGCAGCTCAATATCAGCGCATATGGCCCGTACCTACCCTTTTACTCCTGAAAACTTCTCATCATTATAGTGTACGTAGTACGTGATAAATGGCTTTGTATTATGCTTGTCAAATACACTGCCGATATCTCTCATTAGAAGTCAGTTATTTCAAGTTATACGAGAACAACATGGAAAAAGGCAAATTAAACTTGAAGTCGAATGTAAGATAACTTGTTTTATTTCGCCCTCCATTTGTTTTCAAGATTGTCCACCTTTTCTCAGTTTTCAATATATATGTATATCTATATGCTTAGTTTCAGGACATGCAATAGTTTCAAGATTATGGTTGATTTCCTTTTTTAGCAGTGACACAAGGGCGGATCCAGGGGGGGGGGGGCCAAAGGGGGCCATGGCCCCCACAAAAACGAGACCAGGTTTTTTTTTTTTTATGTGACATCGCAATAAAGGCAGGCAATGAGTACACCACCATCTTTTCCTCAAAGAAACATTGGTTAAAGTGGTCAGAAATTGCCTCAGATCACACCACAGAGCATCTAGAATCCACGCCGAACCCCACGCCGTAATTTTTTGGACCCACTTTTTGGGGGATCCAAAAAAAATTTGGCCCCCCAAAAAATTGTGTTCTGGATCCGCCCTTGCAGTGACAACGCCTGTAAACGTTACTCGTTGAGCCGTGCAAGCCGCAACAAGTTCATTAGTTTGCCAAAACGTATGAAAGAAGGCTGGGCACCGGCAACGCAGTATAATTGCTTTCTTAGTCTTGCGTAAATTAAATGACCAAATTCTGACCTACAATGATCGTCCGTTTCTTGTTGGCCGTCACCATTGTGAATAGGCGATCGATAAGTCAACTCTTTCGTTTATTGCTCGCCCTTACGCAAATTGATCATTTCGTGCATGTAGCATACGATCGTACGTCGTTTCCATTTGGCCTCATGGCGCACTAGTCTTCTGAAACAGTTTCGAAATAGTTATACGCGATGCATTTACAACTGAGCCAACGAAACGACATGAATTCCCCCATGTATCAGCGATGGCATATAGGCCAGGTTGTTTGGTGTTCGGCTGTATTGGCCGTTTGCGTGGCCCATATTGGAGCGGTTTCTAACCCCCCTACCGTGACATCTTCGGATTTCACGGCTGTTTCACGGTACAACAGCCCCGTCAAATATCGAGTGATTCGGTCAAGCCAGCACGGATCTCGCCTGAGGTGTGCCGCGGCCTGCCTCAAGGATGACTACTGCAGATACTTCAGTTATACCAAAACTGCCAGACAGTGTGAATTGTGCGATGACACGATCGTTGCAACCAACGAAGAGAACTTGAAATACTACAGGAGAAGCGGTGAGATTTTTATTTTGTTGCTGTTTAAAAATAACTATTAAAAACTAGAACTGTACGCTATTCTAAAGTCCTTATAAAACCTTCCAGTTATAGGCAATTCCACGGTAACTCGTGCTACGTTTAAGGGCGGGGGTCTTCCGTCAACTCTGTGCTGTTACTCAATAAAGTCAAATCATTGAGGGTGGATTTTTCTCACAGAAGGTGAACTGTCTTGCTCTGTGAAGGGACCTCTCGGGATGGAAGACGGTCGCATTCCGGATGAAAGCATCACAGCTTCGTCTTTTTGGGATAACCGCGCGAGGTTCATTGCCATATCTCTTCAATTCCCAAATTGTATGGCTCTCAGAACTCTCTAATATAGAATATTTTGAAGGTATAACTTTTATTGATGAGCTCGGCGGATGGGTTTTGACCTATTTACCGGTGTGCACCCGTAAAGACTTCTGTCAACGCGGATCACGATCTGCCCATACGAAGTCGGCTTTAAGTGAACAAAATTATAACACACTTTGTGGAGACGATAACTCAAGAAAAACACACTGGATTGAAATTTGGTCCAATAATAATGTTCTTGATATGGGACACCAAAATTTGAAAATGTACGGAAACCCTTAATAAAATACAGTGTACTACTCGCGAAATAATCAATCCGAATTCAAGTCACTTTTAATGGAACGAAAATAAAGCACTCTTTGTGGAGACGATAACTTAAGAAAAACACATTGCATTGAATTGAAATTGCGTCCAATAATTGATCGTGATATGAAACTCATTCTTTTTGAAAATCAACAGAAACCGTTAAAGAAAAAAATTAACACAACAAAAACAACACTACACTGCATGTGTAAGGGCACATCATTCTGTACATTTTACCAACATCAATTCCTTCCAAAAGAGGGCGCGCTACACAAATACTGGTCACCACCGTAAAGACTTTTAACGCGGATCACGATCTGCCCAAACGAAGTCTGCTTTAATTGAACAAAAATAAAACACACGTTGTGGAGACGACAACTCAAGAAAAACACATTGCACTGAATTGAAATTTCGTCCGATAATTGTTAGGGATATAGGACACAAACGTTTTGAAAATCGACGAGAACCCTTGGAAACTAAATTTAATATGATTTAACGAAATACAGTGTACTAATCGCGAAATAATTCAAGTCACTTTTAATGGAACATAAATAAAATACTCTTTGTGGAGACGATAACTCAAGAAAAACACATTGCACTGAATTGAAATTGCGTCCAATTATTGATCGTGATATACAACACAATACATTTGAGATTCGACAGAAACCCTTAAAGAATAAAATAAATACAACAAAAACAAAAACTACAGTGCATAAGGGCACTCCCGTACATATTACCAACATCAATTTCTTGCAAAAGAGGGCGCCCTACACAAATACTGGTCACCACCGTAAAGACTTCTGTCAACGCGGATCACGATCTGCCCAAACGAAGTCGGCTTTAAATGAACAAAAAAAAACCCGCACTTTGTGGAGACGATAACTCAACAAAAACACATTGCACTGAATTGAAATTTCGTCCGATAATTGTTCGGGCTATAGGACACAAATATTTTGAAAATCGACGGGAACCCTTGCAAACTAAACTTAATATGATTTAAAGAAGTACAGTGAACAAATCGCGAAAAATTCAATCCGAATTCAAGTCACTTTTTATGGAGCATAAATACAGCACTCTTTGTGGAGACGATAACTCAAGAAAAACGCATTGCATTGAATTGAAATTGCGTCAAATAATTCATCGTGATATACGACACAATTGTTTTGAAAATCAACGGAAACTGTTGCAGAAAAAAATTAATACAACAAATACAAAAACTACAATGTACATGTATATAAAGGGCACTCCCGTACAATTTACCATCATCTGTTTCTTCCAAAGAGGGCGCGCTTCACAAATACTGGTCACCACCGTAAAGGTGTAATCCTGTATTAAAATGCCCATAGACACCAGTGCTAAATGCCCATACTTCAAAATTCTTTTTTAAAGTACTCAGAACTCTCACAGGTATTTAATCTGCACAGAAAAATGATGTTCATCATGTCATCGTTCATTTTCTTTTCATTTTTTATGGGTTGACCATTGACTTTTCGAGATATTCTCACCAAAAGAAGACGACCCCTATTTTCCCCGAAGCAGAAAAGTAGCCATCTTGAAAAACGATCCCTCCACAACATGGCAAAATAGCGCCACTTTCGAGCCCAATTGCATTCAAATGCTCAGAATTAGAAGCCCCAAGTCCGGGCCAGAGGTTCATTGCCATATCTCATCAATTTTATGGCTCTCAGAACTCTCTACTACAGAATATTTTTAGGGTATAACTTGTTTTCATGAGCTCGGCGGATGGGTTTTGGCCTGTTCACCGGTGTGCACCCATAAGTAGCGCGCGCTAGCTGCAGCGAAGGTCAGGTTACCCAGAATGCCATCCGTACTTCCTTCACAAGATTCTGTGGAGCGGATTAGCCCTTCCCGGGCAAGCGCCCTGTTTGCAGATTGACCGCGCTCGCATGGAAGCTGCATACATTTTAGGGAAACAGATTCTACATCCAATCTGAGTCCAAGACCGCAATTTCGTTGGTTGATTCACCCGACGCATGCGTGTTTCCTTCCTGTTGTAGTAACATTTTGGGGCCCAGGCAGGGTATTCCCCAAGGATATAATCTCATGTGCACAGGAACACAGGCTGACTTTCTGAGAATAAAGGTGGGAAATTTCTGATCTCACTTCCCCCTTGCCATGCACTGTTATATCCTTGCCAGCGACCTTCCACCAAATTCTAAATGCATTTAATGATGCAAAAAATTGGTCTGAGAGACTTCAAGCCCCGCCCCCTCCTGGTTTTCCTCAATAGAGCTTATGCGTAGCAGCCATCTTTGAGGGCAATGCCTTTGTTTTTCCTGGGATATGCGTGAGTGACCCTTTTGAGCAATCAGTGTTACTGAATTTAAAAAAAGAGTCTAAGATGGCCGCATGATACGCATTATAGGTCTGCTTGAATGAGCGTGAGGGCGCTCTAACGAGGTCATTTTCTTTGTACATTGTACAAACAGTAAATACATGTACATTTGTATGTCACGTGTGTTGCTACATTAAGTAACTTCAATTCAATCGCACAAGTATTGTTAATCTTTTGTTTTAATGTAATAATCGACTGCATCAACTCGTAAACTTATATACATGTATATCAGTAATCTAGGATTTATATCTGCAAACCGTAAAAACGCCTTCGTTAATACAGCACCCCGTATTCACTTGAAAAATGTGGCAGACCCGCCCCCCCCCCCTCCCCCTCTCTTTCTCTTTTGTCGTACGAGAATACTGACTTAAAAATGCTTGAGAATTGCGGCTGTACTACATTACGTGACCGGGGAGTTTGAAATGAACGGTCGGAATCCAGTGTGTTATCAATATGATGGCTGTTGTCTCTTAAAGTCACGTGGTGTCAAACTGCCCAATAGCCTCTTGTCTTTGATATAGCGAGTGAGTCTGGAAAGTGACATACCTAAACTTCATACCTTCATACAGGGTAAGTCAACAACAAAAAAAGAAACCTAACTGGCAGGACCAATATTTGAATGAAGTTTTGCCTGCAGCACTTTCAAAATCTAGGATATGACAGCCCAGTCATTAAGCTTTCTTTTAGAACAGGAATCATTCAAATCACTCATGTACTTTTCAAGTTACGACATTTTGAACACAAACACCGTTTTGAAGTTCCGTCCACGGATCACAACAAAACGGTGTTTTAAAACTGGAAAAGTACATGAGTGATTTCAATGATTCTTGTACTATAAGAAAGCTTAATGAC